TCAATACTGGAACATTTCATGATATATTGTACGTGACATATCTAAGACTTACTACACAATACAGTAATTATACAATTATAACTTTAAATTGTGGAAGCACTTTAATTAAGCACCTTTAAGATATCAAAGGTATGTGATTCACCAAGGATTCTATGAAGACATGGGGCCAGATTCACAAAACAGTTACGCAAATACTTAGGAACGTGTACATCTTTCCTCACTCTTTGACAGCTTTGGTTACATTTATTTAACAGTTTACAAGCATGAAAACTTGCCAATCAACTGTTGTTATTGTTATAAACAGCCTCCTGGTGCTTCGGAGCTCATTAACTGTTTAATAATTGTAAACAAGGTCGCCAAATATTGAGAAAAGATGTGCAGGTTCGTAAGTGCTTGCGTAACTGCTTCGTGAATCTGGCCCCATGGTCGCCCCATAAAAACGGGACACACTGCGAGCAGATGCACAACTTTGAAGCGGAACAACGCAATTTGGGGACGATTGCTGAGTAACAACACCGCAATGTGGTATACTACACTATATGCGGTATACCAGATCTCTAACCCAGGCTGCAAGACAGCAGAAACTGCATACACACAGGTTACACAGGTTAGAAATATTACGTGACGTCACCGATGACGTCACATTAATCCTAACATTAATAAGCCTAATAACCCTAATAATATGTAGGAAATGTAGATGTTTATCTCTCAGAATGTTTGGTAATATGTTTATTGTTTGTGATGTGTGTCTATGTATATGTTAACACGATGTACTGAACGGGGTGAGAATAGCTTGAGCTACCTCATCCCTTTGTGTGTATTTTACCTCAATAAACTTATTTCTATTTCAATAATATGTACATTCAACAAGATTTAAACCTAACTGGTTTGTTTTCAATCGGCAACACTCCCACTAGTGTCTTAGCTCTGAAGATCGTCATATATTAACTTGCTTAGCTAAATGAATTGTGGGGGTTCAGTCCCTAAGCCTATTCCGCGCCTCTATAACCCTTTCCACTACCGCCCACATGATGGGTATGGGGTGCATAATAAATGAACTAAACTAACTCTGAGGATCGTCATCATTTTGTCCGCTTTTCTGCCTGGTCGCACGAACCTGAAGATGGTTTGAATTATCTATTCCTTAACACATGGTCAGAGCTAAGAATTTCACACTAATTTCCATTTAGCATAGTAAAGATCATTTTCGCGTTAATTACTCGGTGCAGACCATGTGCATGTTACTGCAGTATGCACACACACATACATCAAATATTTAAATATAGCCTTCAAAATTAAAGTCGTATTCTGATGTGTTACCAACATAAAAATAAATCCTTTATGTCAGAGAATGTCACTATGTCGTGGGTGAAAAATAATACCCAAATCTGTTATTCCTTATGTAGAGCAAACGACACACTATCACACAAAAACACTGGCCCCTATAGAGGTCCATCAGGTCTTCTTTGTTTTACTAGCCTTAAGTACTCAAAGTTATTAATACAGGTCGTACCGCCCTCCCCCGGACTGCAGAAATAGACTCGTCCCGCCCCACGCTGTCTGGCGCGTGGCCAGTACCGCCCCCCCCCTTCCCCACTCCCCCTCTCAGAAACCGTTCTCTCAGATTTGACACAGTAAACAATGCACAAATGTAAACAATGTAAATAAATTTTGCCCCGAGAGGCGAGTTTATTGGACTTGTTTCTGCCAAATCCGATCCCAGGCATCCCACCCTAACTCCTGGAGGGCAATGCATAGAAAACGTCATTTACCGCACTTTAAATGATGCTAATTTTGTATTGTTAATAGATTGCTAGTACGTACAAAATGCGATGTATTAGATGAAAGGACACGTGTCATGTGCGTGCACTCAGCAGTATGGGGTTACCATGGTTACAACTCGTATCGTAAACAAAACCATTCGCCAACAGATTTTTAAAACCTACCTAACCTAACCTAACTTGACCCAACCGAGCCTACACTAACCTAAGCTAATAGATCCTAACACTAATAATATGTACGATTTTAACAAACAGAAAATGAGCTTGTGTGCTATTTGACCATACCCATTTTTAATATATTATTTAGACGTCTTTATGCTACACAGTCTCGCCGGCTTGGTGCATTTTAGCATTTTATGAAATTGTTTCAACCAAGATATTACCGTACTATATTTACTATGGTTCTTCAAATCCGGTCAAGTATACCTAGGTCATAAAAGTATTTATGTGTACGTCTGATATGTATGTATTAACACGATGTACTGAACGGGGTGAGAATAGCTTGAGCTACCTCATCCCTTTCTGTGTATTTTACCTCAATAAACTTATTTCAATTTAAATTTAAATTTCAAATCCGGCCATGTACACTTTACACTCCACTGTCTTCTTTACAGTAGTAAGCACTTCCAATGAAATCTTCAGCGCTGCGAGAAAATCTAATTGCCAGTCTTGATATAAAGTGGCAAATTTAGCTCAATGAAAACGCTTAAAGTTGACGGAATAAGTAATTATTGGCCGTGAAGACTATGAGGTTTTCTTGACGGAATAAATGACACTATTACCAGCTCAATTATTGGAATAACCAGAACTACCACATGCTACGAACTCCCAAGCACCCTAACTTTTACACTTAGATCTAGCTATTTAATGTTCATTACTATATTTACCTAACGTTACACATGCTTCTCAAATGTCAATTGTTGTGCTCGAATTCTTTAGTTTATACATTCAAGGCACGTCAACGTGTCATACAGATAATGCTGCTTGCATACTATAGATTGGTTACATTTTTTATCTATGGGGGACCTCCCATTGATAAAAATAGGCCTCGCTTCTACTGTTAGATAATGAGTCTATATTAGCACTGTATACTCAATCTGCTGGTCAATGGTAGTGACCATTAGTGTATACAAACACTAAAGTATAATTATGTAATCACACTAAACAGAACATACAGCTGTTCTATTCACAAAATGTTTCCTTTATGGCTAAGGATTAATTTTTTTTGGTTGGGTACGCGATTTTGTCCGTTACGTCCCCTAATTTTACCAGTGAAGGGCAAGGGAATATATCTATGGAACGGCTGCTTCTGGCTGAAAATTGACAAGGAACTAAATTGTCCAGAACACATCTCTACGCAGTAAAAACACACTTTTTATGATTGTTTACCAACTAATTTATTGAAAATAAATTAAATTTGAATTACCTTTTTCATGTTTCCAACTTTTTGTGATACTTTATGACAGCTTCTATTTAAAAGCATCATGGAGTATAACACTCACCAGCTGTCAAAAAATGAGGAAAAGAAAGTACATCAAAACTGTGCATCATACGATTGCAGGAATTAAATTCGCATTACTAGTGTGCAAACTTGCACTAATTAAAGAACACGATCAAATACTTAAGTGACACTAAAGACACCAAAAGAATGGCATGAAAATTCTTGTGAAATCAACCAAAAAAAAAAAAAAAAAAAAAAAAAGTTTAGTCTCTCCACAACAATTGTAGCAAATTACAGTACAATTAAAATTTATAATAGGTTGTATGGACATGGAACCCACCTTGCAAGCTTACTTGTACTTGAATATTACATAACTGTAGTTTAGTTTTAGGAAAAATTCAAAACTTTTAATATCGTCTTTGAGATAGAAGCTACTAATATATAATAATTATCCTTAATTCTAAATGTCTAGCGAGCTTCAATGAAAGTAGTATCCATTATGGATTTGTAATTCAAATTTCAACACTTTTAGACAAGAGGGGGAATGAAAAAGAAAAATTGCCATGTACTTATGTAATTACTGTACAAATAAAGTAAATAATCAAGCATGTGACTGCCTTATTACACATGTAGAAAAAGTGCAGTAATTTAGTTTCATCTCGTCTGAACAAAATGTTCCAAGTAGCACGGGCTAAGGTGAGCCCGTAGACGACTTACCTGGCACATAAGGGGAAAGAATTATGAAGGGAAAAGATGAAGATTAAGCCACCCAAAAGAAGGGAAAAGCACCAAGCCAACATAGAGAAATATTCAGACTGGCACTTATGTGCAGGACTATATTTTAAGTAAATAAACTTAAGATACACTGATAAACATGACAGGTGCTTTTAATCACAATCCTATGAAGCTCATTTACCATTTTACAAGGCCATACAAATGCCAGTAGGTAGCGATCTATATCTTTGTTAGAATACACCAAAATACGTGAATATGGAATGAGCCTCAGGTTGACTGGTAGTCTAGATTGCCAAACCAGAGTTCATTTACGATAATGCAGACCTGACTGCCCAACAGAGCTGTGGGTGTTGTCCACTGAAGAAACAAAGAGACCAGCAAAACAATGTTTAATTTTCATTACTATTGGATTAAAAAATTCAACCATCAAATTGTTTAATGATCAGGAGTGTTTACCAAACAAAAATACTTGATTTGTATAGCTTTTTGGAGGGAGTTTATTATTAAAAATATACTTTGCAGTGAACATTAGCAAACTATCATAATTTTTATTCATTGGGTTTCTTGTGTGTAAGTGAAAAAAATTGCCCAATGACACAATCAGCCTAGTTTCCAGTAAGTTTACCTCCCTCCCCCATGAGCCAAGGACTCTCTGACCCAAGGCCAGGACTCGACAAGCATTTATCCATCCACTTACAAAACCTATACACCTTTCCTCAATTGTGGTGGCTTGTTTACATTAAATAGTTTATGAGCTCCAAAACAGAGGGCATTTAACAATAATAACCTAGCGCTGTGAAGTTTCAAAGCTTTTTACACAACTTCAAAGCTTCTTAAACTGTTTAATGTAAATAAATCAAACGTTAAAGATGTACAGGTTTTGCAAGTGATTAGTAAATGCTTTGTGATTCCTGGTCTGGTCAGGTTGACCAGCAGGGCCAACGAACAGAATGGATTGGTAAGCTTCAAGTGTAAAGTGGGAAACTTTAAATATTTAATCAAATGTAAATTAGGAATATTTGTAAATGGCTGTGAAACACACATTTTATAGAAGTTTTTATTGTTACCTTAAAATTACTCAAGGCTATGACAAAAAGTCTTGTACTTCAGTAGCAAGTAGTTTTGCTAATTCTAGTGTACATAAAATTTAATAAAAAGAAAAACACAAAACATCTAGTTTTATAAGATTATATTCAGTTAAGACATAAAACCTGAATACTTTGGTCATTTTGTTATTTTCCAGGTAATCACGACTGTAAAAGATACTTTTACTTCGCCAAAAATTACAATACATTTTTCCTCAAGACTGCATACCTGGGTTTATGTATACAGGTAAATCACATCTACACAATTTTCTTTCACATCTCATGGACGAAATATCACGCATCCTCTGGAAAAAAAAAAAAAATTATTAAATTTAAAAGACATCTGAATAGACAAGCAATTTTCATGTTACTTCATTTAACTAGTCTAACAAATGTATCCCTGGTTCCATTACCCTACATTTCTGACATGAATCATTCTTGAAAATGTTAAACCTTTTTCTACTCTCATTTCTATCATACTGGATTTGCACTTCCCCTTAATTTTCTTCCTTCCTACTCCTATGATTATTAAATAAAAAACTTGCAAGCTTATTAAATTTGAATACAAAAACACAAATTACAGTACATTACAAAATGTGAATTCATAATTACAGTATATAGAATTCTATTATACTTGTATAATAAAGCACTCGATCCAAAGACAAAATGAATGACATTTTTTGCAAGGTATGTCATTCAAGATATATATTGTACAAAGACACTCAAATCTTTATCAAGTTTTAACTTTATAACGTACCTTAAAACTACTGTACTTAATGTGGCGTCAATTTTGGGTTAGCGTCCTTCAATATATGACGAGAGATCAATTTCATCAGGTAGCTCTGTAATGTTGACATCAAATCGTTCCTGAACTTCATTCAAGGTCTTTGCGTCACTTTCTTCACTGACAAATGTCACTGCCAAACCCTGCAAATGATCATGTGTTAATTTTGTACATTAGTCAATGCACGAACAAGTACAGCAATAACAAATCTAGACAGCACAATTTAAAAAGTAAAATGTGGTAAAGATAAGAATGGGTGTAGAAATTGCAGATGGCAAAAGCAACACAAAAAAGGGCTAACTAGTCAGTGTTTAAATGAACTCAAAAAATCATTAGCTTAAAGGTCAATATAAAGTCAGGAGGTACATTTTAATAACACCAATATGATGAATGGATGGGTGGGTGCCATTCAAGCATCTTTACCTTATTACAAAATTTTCCTCAGGGAAAGCTTTAAGGGGAAACAAAGATACTGTTAAATGTGAATTAGGTACTTGAGTTAATTAAACTTACTTTGGTACCAAATCTTCCAGCTCTCGCCACCCTGTGAAGATATGTGTCACTGTCCTCTGGCATGTCGTAATTGAAGACAATGTTGACTCGCTCGATATCCATTCCACGACCGAAAAGGTTTGTGGCCACTAGAATACGCTGCACAAGGGGAACAAAAAAAGTGAGCTTAAGAAAAAATACATTTCAGGTTGTGTCAAATTCCAATTTCCTCGCACCATTCTTTTTCTTTGTCCTATATATTCCAAATCTTTATCCCATCCAATTGCTATATAGTTGCAATGGCTTAGTGCTTTTTCCTGATAATTGCCTACCTAACTTACACCTTCCAAAGAACACCACTTATTCAAAATTATTTTACAGCTAGAAAATTATGCAAGCAAATGTGACAAAAGCTATTAATTAAACTCAATTCAAGAAAAAAAATTATGTTGACCAAGCCACACTAGAAAGTGAAGGGACTCGATGACGACGTTTCAGTCGTCATCATTGTAATTCACAATCGACTTGAGAATGGTCCAGGACGGACCGAAACGTCAGCGTCTCTTCACTTTCTAGTGTGTGGTTTGGTCAACATATTTCAGCCACGTTATTATGACTCCTCGTCTGCGCAAAAACATTAATTAAATTGTTTAATAACTACATGTTTACCTAAAGTGAATGGTGTAGCATTAATACCTTACCTTTTGGAAATCTTTGAATTGCTGATAACGACTGAGTCTCTCCTCCTGCTGCATAGCACGGTGAATAGCAATGGCTGGGAAATTTTGTTCCACCAGCAATTGTGCTAATGCCATACATCTCTGCACCGACTTCACAAATATCACAACCTACAAAAATTTGAAATTACATTAATACTCTAAATTTTAATACATAAATAAAATATTTGGAAAAAGGCAGTAAGATACAAATTTGAAAAAGTTTAGATAATTAAAAATTAATTAAAAAAAAACTTGATACACGTGAAAGTATTACAATTTGTACTGATCAGCCCTAAGTATTAACTCACTAAATGGTTGCAATTACAAAGCAAATGGAGGAAAGTGCAGCACTTGAGGAAATCGCAAAAAGCGAGCGGAGCAATCCAAGGGTCATATGCAACATAATTTTAGGTACAATTTTATCAAAAAAGAAAAAGCCAGCATAGGGTATGTAAGTAGAGATACAATGAGAGAGCAATGATTAGTGTGCTGTGATGTGCACAGTACTGAAAATATGTACCAGTTGAGGATGGTATAATGAAGACGATAAGGGAAGTGTGGATTACATAACTGTTGGTTAAGAGAAAAACCACCATTTACAACTCAAATCCTTCTAGGGAACTGTTGGCAATGTAATATCGAGGGAAATGATTGCAGTATTGACAACAGCACAAGTATTAGAAAATGTTGGAAGAGTTGGGAATGGTGCTAGTAGCGGTGGAAGCTAAACAGGTTAGAAGGGCAACCTGTTAAAATAACTGTTTACATTACTGTCCAAGGCTTGTTGGGTAGAAGGGATGCCAGTTATGTACAGTTCATCGTGCAACAATCGGCATAGGCAAACATTTAAAAGTTATCACAGTCTGTGCAGAGGACTGAAATATTAACATTCAGCTATAAATAAAGCAAAATCCATGCAAATTTTGAATTCTTAAAAGATTTTGATTTAATTAATAACCAGATATGTAATTATCAAAATAATCAACCCAGGATGACAAGAAATCGACTATATGTACAATTAAACATTCCAAATATATTACAGACCTTCCCAGCGCATGATTTGAAAACCACAAATTATCACTAATCAATACATAAATTTGTATATTGCCATCTCATCCACATATGACAACTCAAAATCTACTACTTTGGGACCATTTTTGTTATGGTTTTCTCCAATTTAGTAAGAAAAAGTACATTTCTTCCCCATATTTCATTAAAATTCATTGTAAAATTTGTATCAAATAAATTTTGAATAAAAAATGGTCCAAGTAAATATTAAGACTAGTCAAATGTTCCCATGTATAACGTATCAAATACAACAAGCAATATTTTTAAGAATTGTGTAATGATTGAAAAAAAAACCTAAAGGAAATTGAAAAAAAAAAAAATTATTGCTACATTATAGATAGCATTCAAATTCATAGGCACAATTTAGGACTACTTTATAGAATTTAGGCCCTGACAAACTTCAGTGGTGGTTATATCAATATGAAATGTAATGTAATTATCAAAAGAAGGCACCAAACCGGGAAGGCTATGTAGCTCCATCAAAGTGCGGAATAATCAGAGGGCGCTAAATATCATCAAGAATGCCAATACGAGAACAAAAACGCACTATGCAAACGATATCAAAAGTATCCGATTCACCTAGAATTTACCAATATGAAAAACACTAGCCAAATTCAATTTTAATTCAAGAGATAAATCATATTTATCAAGCAAAACCCCATTAAAAAGTTTTTATTTTAAAACTTACCTGGTTAAATTCAAGGGCATCAAGCAATTCAAACAATTTCCTGTTCTTTTCATTCTCCTTGATCTTGACATAATGCTGCTGCAGACCATTAAGGGTTAACTTTGCTTCATCATCAACATAAACCTCCATAGGCTGTAAAGACAAGTTAGCAACATGTTGCATATAAGGGCACAAGTTCCTTAATACCATGCAGAAGTTAGCCACACATGCCAGGAGAGACTGTGTGATATTCTTCTAACAAATGAAAAGTATATATATATACAGTATATAAATAAAAGTTTCAATGATGAGGTCGTATACTCGCATACATTTAAGCTCTCCCATGCCTGAAATTCAGGTTACGTCAATAATCAGTTTGAACATTGGTTACTAAGCGATTGTTTTAAAAGGGAAGTCAAAAATTAAACCAAAGGTAAAGGTAACAAAACTTGCAAAACAGTTTCTGGGATAAGGGAGGATAGAAGCTACAGAGGCTAGAAATCCAAAAACCATTTTGGGAACGAAATGTATTTCTAAAGAACCATCCCTACTGCCCAGACAACTTAAAAATTAAATGTCAAATTATTAAATAAAAATGTATAGAATGCATCAAAACTGTAACGTTAAAACCTTGTCTGTGCAGTTCATGGTACATCAGAATGTAAATACTGTTGGAAACTTACAAGATTCTTAAATAAAAACTATCTCTTTAAAACTATAACTACAAGGTGTCAATGAATAATTTTACTAAAAGCTATTTAGTCCAAGTTATGTATACTTAAGATGTAAGTTAAATTGGTTTAAGCCCCCAAAACATACCCCTGACTGATAAAAGCTTACTAAACTGCACTCTTGACCCCTCCCACTAATCCCCAAACCTTGGTTGCCTGCTTTGAGGGCTGGTCATGAAGGCCCAGGCGTGCGAGCTGGAGTTCGCCACTACCACCAACGACCAGGTGTCAATACAGCAGCGGCACCAACTGTGTCCAATGCTTCGCCATCCACCACCCTCATAAACAACACCTTCACTTCGATGTAATATTCTTTCTTGACTCGTCTTCTCGGCCAGCTTCTAAACTTTCTTGCAGTAGTGATGTGGTGAAAGTTGAGTGGTACAGGATGAGGGGAAAGGATTAGGTATTGTATGGATTGTATGCTTGGATCAGGTTAGGATAGTGTGAGGATTGATTTACTTTCTTACTTGCACCACTTGCCAAGGTGCGACGGTGTCAAATCAGCGACATGCGTCTTCCTGAAGAGCTTCGATGTGCGTGAGTGAGCATATGCACAAGAGAGAAAGTGCATGAACATGAAAGGATGGAACCAGTGAAAGGCAGCAAGGTAATCAAGATGTTGCATCATATAGATGAACAAGGATACAGGTAAGGATGCAGCGCCAAGAAGGCAGGATCGAGGATGCGCCCCTGACTGGGTACTGTCAGGTTTACAGGATAATTGAGAGGATATTGGTATTATGATGAATATGAGCCGATATACTGCTTTGATATGGATATGAATACTGTAATGCTTGTCCAAAACGGGGGGCAGTGAATGATTTGGGGAAGATTGTAAATGATTCCGATGTGGTTCGTTGTGGGTGATACATGAATATGATATTAAGAGACTTGGCCAGGACTGAGATCTTCATTCTTCATGGGGGTGGTCGAGGCTGAAGGGTGGACTGGTATGTCCACCAACGAGATGTACTTCCCACCCATGTTAAGTTGACGACACCGTGGTACAACAAGATCGTTGTGCCGATATACCGTAGTAGAAATAAGAGAAAACCTTCAGTAATTACATCTTGCATAAATTTCTTGCAAACTGGACGAATATCCTTGCTCAATGTGGCGCTGAACATCATCACTTGCTTCTCATGTGGAGTGTTGCGGAAGATTTCTTGTACATCACGCCTCATGTCTGTAAAAAATACAATTTAAGACATTATAAAGGGTTTTAGAAGCAGAAAAAATGCAAAAATATATTAACTTTTCTTTCATAAACTCATATTTATTGAAGGTTCCCCAGATACTTACAAGAAAATAATTATGGCATAACTACCCCATTTAAAACTGAAAAAATATATAAAAACACTATACAAATGCAGAAAATACTGTATAAGCATTGTTGGTAGAGCAATGACATGGAGGCATAACAGTAAGTTCTAAAAATGTCAGTCAACAATAAACTAGTACATACCTAGTTGTTCAAGCATCTTATCGCACTCGTCCAAGACAAAATGCTTGAGGTGACGCAGATTAAGCTTCTTATTACGGACTAGAGCAAGGACACGACCTGGTGTGCCAACGACAATATGAGGACAATTGTTCTTCAGCGTTTCCTCATCCTTTGTGATATTCAGGCCCCCAAAGAACACTCCAACCTTGACAGTGGGCATATACTTGCTAAACCTTTCATATTCCTTGGCAATTTGGTATGCCAACTCACGAGTGTGACACATTACAAGGACAGACACCTGAAAGTAACAGCAGTGTGAAATACAATACACTAACAATTTTGAAACCTATACAATACACTAACATTTTTGAAACCTATACAATACACTAACAATTTTGAAACCTATACAATACACTAACAATTTTGAAACCTATACAATACACTAACATTTTTTAAACCTATCATAGTGCAAACTAGACATTATATAAGTGAGGAAAAATGAAGATCTAAGTCAAGACAGCTTCATGAGGTAATTAATCGAAGAGTTAGATAGTTTCTTTAAAAATTTTATGTTAAAATACCTGGCCATCAACTGGTTCAATCTGCTGTAGAGTTGCCAACACAAACACTGCTGTTTTCCCCATGCCAGACTTTGCTTGTCCAAGGATATCCATACCCAATACAGCTTGAGGGATGCATTCGTGTTGCACTGTAAACAAAAAGTTATATAATTACTAAACATACAGTTGTTGAAAGGGGGAATTACTAATCAAAATTGAAACATCCATACACATCTTACAATAACAAAATGCAAACAATAAATTGTCAAGTTAAGATTGATAAATTGCAACCAGATTTAATCTGGTTGCAAATAAAGATATGATAAAGATAAAGACTAAGACTGCCACTTAAGATTTAATCCTTGCAACAAGACGGTTGCTATTAACTACATTTCAATAAAAGTATAAGCAAATACCGCAATAAATCCACAAGGTTACACCACCTACCTTCTGAGGGATGCTCAAAGCCGCAGTCAACAATAGATCGCAAGATCTCTGGCTTGAGTAAGAAATCCCTAAAACCCGAAGAGTGAATGGACACATAGGTACCCTTGACATCTTTTTTGGCAGGGGCAGCCTCGGTGGCCTCCCCAGCCACTGGCTCTACCGCATCCTCGTCCTCTTCATAGTCCAGAAGCTCAGTCTCTTGATCGGCCATTCTGAAATTAGTGGAAAGATTATTACTAGTGTTTTATATTTATAACAAAAATAATTTGAAAAATAAAAAAAACACCGAACTTTATGAATTTTCTCTGAACCTACAATACAACCTCACCAACCTAACCTAGAAGCAGCAAGTCGCACCCTAAAGCCATGTCATACAGCTCCATGTTCACATGTAATTTTAAATATTACAGGGGGTGGTACAAATCTGCGCATAGAAATATTACCACACTATCTGCAGGATGTGCAGAATACCCCTGTGGAACAGCCCAACACCCCGAGATACAATACTATGAGAACTGTCAACATCAGAGGCCCAAGTCTGTTCAACACGCTTCCACTACACGTAAAGGGCCTAACTGGCCAACCCCTAACAGTGTTCAAGAGAACATTATAAACACCTTCAAAGGGTACCTGATTAACCAGCCTGTGATTCATATGTCAGGCTGTGAGCCTGATACATCCAACAGCCTGGTTGACACCAGGAGGCCAGGTTGGAGACTGGACCACGAGGATGATGAGCCCCGAAATCATTGCAAGGTAAGGGACATCACAACACGACAAACAGTTGTTAGAAATTGTACAATCTTAGTGAATGAGTAGCTGAATTACACATGCGCTCAAATAATCTTGTGTAATCCAAATAATGGGGCATCTACAGTAGCAATGACATTTGTAAAGCTTTCGGCATCTTATAGGTCCCACTCAAGCACACTATTTGAATACAAATATTTGTAACAAAGAAGGGGTTAGGATAATACGAGAAACTAGTAAAGAATGTAACATGGGGAGCAAGTGCCAATAAACTTTTGGTGAAGTCAGAAAAAGTTCAGAGGGAAAGAAAATAATTAAGTCAGTGTTAATTGGCTGTAAAAACCGTCACCTTGTGAACATATCCACAAGGGCCGTGACGAGGATTTGAACCTACGTCCGAGATCATTCCAGACACTGTCATAATCACAAGTTTCAATGTTTCACAAGGTGTGCCTTCACCTTGTGAAATATGAAACAAACATTTTAAAGGAACAGAGGTAGGAACAAGACAACTCCCAACAACAATGAGATAAGATGCTTTTGAACTATGACAGGCTAATAGAACTACATCTCAATGCTAAGGGTTGCTTTCTAATAATAATAAAAGAAAATAAATAAATAAAAAAAATTAATAAAATAGGGTAGAAGGGATTCAAGAGGGAGGGAAATTACCAAGTAGACCAGAACAAAGTAGGACACGAGAACACACAGGAAGTGAAAGCCAGAAATATAAAAAAAAAAATAATATTAAGGTACTGTACTTGATACTGGTAGCAGGGAGAGGTGGTCAACAAGCCGTGAGCACTGACTAAAAATTAAGGAAGCCAAGATCAGAGATTCTGACTCCAAGATTCGAACGTTAATACCCGACGCTTGACCCAGTAACGCATCATCACCCGGACCAACCATATGCTACACATTTCTCTTAGCCACGCCAATAATGGGTGCAGCCAGTGTACCCGGACCGCCAGGACGGGTTGTGGGGGTACAGTAGGGGTACAGGAGGGTGGGTGGTGGTGCACGCGGCTACTCCACAAGGTGACGCCATACTTCTCCCTTCCCTTATACGCACTTTTCACACACAATACAACTACTGCATGTCTATATACCGGCGGCGCGTCACCCCGCGGCCCTGAAGCGTACGCACATCTACGCATATCATACAAGGCGGCAACGCTCAACAAATTCACACAAAATAATACAGGAAAATGTATATTCCCCCCCCCCCCCCAACGACTCACGCGGCTACAGTAGGAAAAGAAAAACCAGGACACCACTTAAAACTGCCGTAACCACTGTTCTAAACCACTGTATACTGTAATACATCACAGAAAGACATCACAGGCGATATATTACAAACCTCGAGGCCATAATTCCCAATCGTGACACAAGGCGCCTTGTGTCCTCACTCGTCTCTTTAAAACTCCAATATACGCCATAACCTACCTTGCTAATGCTTCCGCGACGATCCAACGCACACAATTACGGTCCAGAGAGGTGTACTGAAGGTAGCAACAGTCCAATTCTCACCTGATTAGTTAAGTTTTATACGCTACAGGAGCCGGGTAAAATGGCGTCGTGCGGGAGAGTGGTGGAGTGGCCGCCGCCGCCGCCGCCACCCAGCGCTGCCACACCATCCCTACTACTCATTTAACTTCCATTTTTACCGCCTTTATTCCTTTACAACAACACGATTTTTTATTTTTAATAGCTTTGGTATATTATCTACAAATTTTAAATATATCTTTGATCTTTTAAAAACGTTGCTTAAGCATTATATTATTGGCTGATATTTTATGTCAAAGTTTGTTTAGCATGATTGCTTTGCTATCGTACCTGAATATCGTACATATTTATTTATTTATTATTTATTTATTTATTTATATACAAGAAGGTACATTGGGTTTGAGAGGATACATAGCATAGTATTTACAATCTTGTAAAGCCACTAGTACGCGCAACGTTTCAAGCAGGTCCTTACTCTAACAGATAATACCTCTGTAAAACAGATAAATACCTCTGTATCTTGTGCTGTATTTGATAACTGGGCAGCCAAACTACAGTACACGAGATATTTTTTATATTTGAGTCAGTATACAAATTTAACGCCCTAAGGGTTTTATGTATATATACATATTAATATTGTTATATATGGGTCTTCCTACTACATCATGACGTGCATACGATATGCACCAACGTACACTACGCTATAGCTACAGATCTATATAAGGCACTGTATTATATATGAATACAAGATATAACAAAGTTACATGACCTTTTGGGTAGAAATGTGCGCAAAAATACTTAAATTTGACCTGAAAACAACATAGAGTCACTTACAAGGTTGCCAGATGTGCGGCTCCTTACGATTAATTATAAGATCTATAACTGTATAATATAATAAAATAATAATAATAATTTTTATTTAAAAAATAAACAAAAAAATAGGATACAGTAGTTTAATAATTGTTACAGAATATACAGTGCTACTGCTAATATACAGTACGGTGCATATCTAACAGTATTAAGAACATGAGAATGAAGATATCTGCAGAAGGCCTATTGGCCCATACGAGGCAGCTCCTGTTTATATTCACCCAATCTCTTTCATATATATGTCTAACCTACGCTTGAAACAATCACAGAATCCTACTTCTATTATGTTACGCGTAATTGGTTACGTAAATCAATAGCCCTGTTACCAAACCAGTATTTACTCATGTCTTTCCTAAATCTAAACTTATTAATTGGATAAATTTAGAATTAGGAAAGACCTGGGTAAATACTGGTTCAGTAACAGGGTTGTTGATTTGTGGAACCAATTACCGCGTCACATAATAGAAGTAGGATCCCTTGATTGTTTCAAGGGTAGTTTAGACATATATATGAATGAGATTGGGTGGATATAAACAGGAGCTGCCATGTATGGGCCAATAGACCTCCTGCAGTTACCATCATTATTATGTTATTATGTTATTCAATGTATACCCATTGCTTCGTGTTCTATTTCGTGTTCATACTTTAAATAACCTATCAATATTGCTTTTGTTATGCCCATTCATCTGGTTGAATGCCCATCTGTCACTTCAAGTTGATCTAAATAGGGTTTTGAAATGGTCAAAAGATTGGCAGATGGTGTTTAATGCTGATAAATGCAGTTTTGAGGCTAGGTAATGATGATAGAGTTACAATATACGAGCTGCCCTAATCCAACTTAATATAGCACCCCCAATACCATGAGCCTCTATCTTTTTAATCATTAATCAATTCAATAACCCTGTTACAGAACCAGTATTTACCCAGGTTTTTTCCTAAATCTAAACTTATCCGATTTAGTGGCTTTAAGTATAGTATATACTAGCTCTACCTAGAAATCCAACATTCTGTCTGTTAATTATAATATTGTTTGTTCAGGTAAAAGTACATACATACAAAAAGAGTTATAAACAAAATGTTGGATTTCTAGGTAAAGCTAATATATACTATGCCTAAAGCCACTAGTACTCACTTTGTATGTATGTACTCTTACCTGAATAAACATTATTATTATTATTATTATTATTATGATATAAGTCAATGTCAATGGACATTGTCACATCAAAAAAAAAAAAAAAGCTGGAGACCGACCCCAAGTCAGGGCAATGTCGGCAGGATTGTCAGATTGGGCTACAAGTAGCAAATTGGGCTATGTTTGAGAGCCCCCGGGCTCCCAAATTTTTAATTTCGCTACTTGCGACTTTAGGGGGGTAGAAATAACCTAAGCTACTCTATCCCTTTGAGACGTATTTCTTTCTTATCTCAATAAACATACTTGAACTTGAACTTGCGACTTTTTTGGACTAACTTAAAAGCAAGTTGGACTAGTTTGGGCTATTAATGTTAAGAAACTCTATGATGATTATATATGCTTTTTAATGTAATGTGTGACCACTTACCGCAGAAAGCTTGGTCAGAGACTGGCCCCCTGGGGACATTGATCCTAGGAACCTTCGAAAGAAAAAGTAGCCGCAAGGCAAGGTAATCCTCCCCAGGGGCCAGAGATTTCCTAACCTTAATTGTCATTAATACTTCATCCCAAAAGCTACACCTGGTTCCGCAGATCTTCATTAAGGAGAGAAAGTTACCTAGAAATTTACAGATTGATAAATGATGGGAAAGATCCCTTACAGTTAATACTTCTGTCAGGAACACGAAGGTTGGCAAGGAGCAGCAGTGTAAATAGGCTGTTAGATCAGTGGGATTCTTTGACAACTCATTACCAAATCGCTTCTTCCTCTTGTGATAAATATGTTGCAAGGCATATTTATGATAAATAAATATGTTGCAATCGGATCTGAGTGACCTCGCTGATGTTGCAAAGCATATTGACTGATTGATAAAGATTAAGCCACTCAAGAGGTGGCACGGGCATGAATAGCCCGTAAGTGGTGGCCCTTTTGAGCCATTACCAGTATCAATAGATGATACTGGAGATCTGTGGAGGTGCGACCTGAGTGACCTCGCTGATTGATTGATTGATAAAGATTAAGCCACCCAAGAGGTGGCACGGGCATGAATAACTCGTAATGACCTCGCTGAGGTCATAGAAATTATACAGCTTACCAATCAGTAAAGCCCCGGTTGAACGGATATTTTCGAGAGTAACATCTGTGAAAACTAAACTGAGAAATCGAATGGGACTTCAGTCATATTTGTTTTATTATATATATATGCAGAGATAATATTAATAAAACAATTAGAATCGTGTAGTGTACTCTATATATATCAAAATATATTACTCTGAAACCCGTATCAGTCACTAATCAGTCATCTGATATCATGGTTGTTATATTGAGTGCATATTCTACTGCATTATTCCTTGAAATGATCCTTAAATTGTGTTATAATAAACCAATTGATAACCCCAAAATTTTACTCTAATGTACCTAATAATCCGTGTCATTATAGTGTATTGTTATTATCGTGCATTAATCTAATCTTTGTTTATTGTGTCAAAATTTCTTATAATCTACCTGTAAACATTTTGTTGTCAATGTTACTGGAAATTATCTACTTAAAATTATCTGTTAGATTAAGGAGTTGCCCGAAACGCTATGTGTGCTATAATGGCTTTACACGAATGTAAAATCATCATCATTATGTACTCTCTTAACCCCCCAATGTACCTTCTTGTATATAAATAAATAAATAAATAAATTGGGCTACTTTTTTGTACAAATTCGCTACTTTTAGACCGTCAGCTCGCTATACTTTCAGCAATTTGGAGCTGGCATCCCTGTCGAGCGGCTGCTGTCAGGTGACCACAATAACAAGTGTCAACTCCGATAACAACAATCGCCCAGCTACGGTACATAGCAGCTACACGTATCGTAAAGAAGAGCTAACTACGGTACAGAGATCCCCCATAGGAGCACTAAAAACGGTACAGAGCTACAGGGGCTCCTCGTAAGGTACGAGGTACAGGGAACATATCTTAGGATACATAGCCACTGGAGCACCAAATACGGTGCAGAGCTGAAGGTACACCTCTACGGTACAGCGCTGCAGGTACACCTCTTAGGGTACGGAACCACAAAAAGCACCATGAAGAAGGATCGCACAGAAATTAGTAATGGGCCAGTTGAGAAGGAAGAGGGCGAGTCGGACACATACGATGATGAAGATGAGGAATATGACGAGGAAGGTGAGGCATTTTCAGTTCAGCTAATTACTTGTGTACCTGTCATTGTTAGCGAGCATCTCACAGTTTATCAAGGTCTTACCTTTTGCCAAGATTGTGCAGTGTAGGTGATATTATCATAGTTAATATTGTAATCATATTGTGCAGCATCCTATAGGCCTGTATTCAATATATATACAATCCCTATTTAAGGCCTCATTGTCTACAAGATTATCAAATTACTCCTTAAAGAGGTATACAATAATTAATAAATGGCCCATAAAATGTCCAAACACTCCCGACTCTTCAAGACATTGGGGACACAAAACAATTTTAATGACTATATATTTTAATTTTTAAGACTCGGGTACACGAGGTTACAACCCTAATGTGTATGAAAAGTTAGTTTTAGGTCAAGAGTGTAGCCAAGATTAAAGATACAATATGAGGTAAGGAACAGGGCTGGGAGAGAGTGGTTGCTGCTATAGATGACTGCTGGAGTGTGGGGTGGTGTACTCACCTAGTTGTGCTTGTTGGGGTTGAGCTCTGGCTCTTTGGTCCTACCTCTCAACTGTCAACTGGTGTACAGGTTCCTGAGCCTACTGACCTCTATCATATTTACATTTGAAACTGTGTATAGAGTCTACCTCTTCCACATTACTGCCTAATGCATTCTATCTGTTAGCTACTCTGGCACTGAAAAAGTTCTTTCTAACATCCCTGTGGCTCATTTGGGTACTCGGTTTCCACCTGTGTCCCCTTGTTCACATACCACCCGTGTTAAACAGTTTATCCTTATCTACCCTGTCAATTCCTCTTGAGAATTTTGATATTCAATATGATATTCTGTAATACAATGCAATAATGGGTATTTTCAGAATTCTTAAAACTGAATGCTGAACTTGATGCCCTGAACTCTGCTCTGGACACCATTGAACAGAGGAACGATGAGATCAATAATCGTTTGAGGAAGATTCTAGAAGATAATCGTGCAGTTGCTGAAGAAATACTGCAACAAACACAATCAACACAATAATAGTATGAACTACATTCATGAATGTATTGTTAGAGAAGTGATAGGAGACTATTAGTAGAGTCCAAATTTGATGTAGACCTGTAAATAGTAGATATTTGTAGGAAGATGATGCATTACTTTATTCAGCAAAATTTGTTTATGCAGTGTCAGGATTTTTATGTTTTGTACAAATATAGATAATTGGCACTTGATGCATAGTTTTGTAAAATTATTAGTGTAATCAAAATCTTTCCTCTTATATAATCCAGTACTGCACTTGCATTCTGTTGTGGAAGCTATGACCTCGTATTTAACTCTTCAGTGATATATTAAGTATTTTATGATTCTGAGTCATGAGTTATAATCTGCTACAACAATAATTTAATATATTTTTGTTCTGTTGATAAACTCTGAATTATTGTATCTAAAACATTTTTTTCATTGATGAGAACCTTTATGTTCCAGCGCTATTCCTTGCGACCCATATTCTATCATGGTGATAATATTAATGATAACTTTATTCTTTATTCAAAGTTCTTTAATTACAGTATTTAGCTCCCAAAAATACATTCTCCTTTAAAAGGCATAATATCCAGACCATTATCATCATATTGTTCATTTATATCCTATACATTCCTGTCTGTACTGGTGTGTTTGTTAGCCAGGTAAAAAAATTATCACTCATGTATATGCAAAATGAATTTGGTTTTACTGTTTTGAATATAGTATGTACCATGTGTTGTAATCAAAATTTTGTATTCCGAGGTATTGCATAATACAGTGTCATAATTGTAATGTAAGGTACAGTATTTTATTTAGCAATTTTAGTTGTTTAGGTTAATGTACAGCACCAGGTATGAAATGCATTTTAAAGTTTTCATTAACATAAAAGTAGTATATTTAATGTAATAAACATTCCACATACAATGCAATGCCATACTTAAATGTAATAGGAATGTTGGCCATTGTGTACTGTATATTTCTGATTGTATGAAATACAGTGATGCAGAATTCATTATTGTTTAAATTAAATCATTTAATGAAGTAATACTTTGATCATTCCTTCTACATGTTTCAATTACACTTGACTATTTAGACTGGATGTTCTTATACTGTATATTACAAGATCCACTTTTAAATTCTATTAAAATGCATAGTGAAGAATAGTTTCCTTAATTTACATCCTTGAAAATACTTAAGAAACTTCTGGAAATGGTATTTGGAACACCAAGGTACATAATTATAGTTGAGAAAACAGTATAATACTGTACTGAATTATATTTAAGGGTTCAATTTATAATGGTGTAAAAAGTCTAGTTGCTGTTTTCAATAATCTTTTTAAATATTATGGGAACAACTGTAATGACATGTCCTAGAATAATTTAATCTTTAAAGAAAAAGTTAAGAATTAGATATTGTGTAATTAGTTAAAAATATCATTAATTTAATATTTGCAAAGTACTTTAAAGCTGCCTGGTGTTATATCATCTGATGAAACTGCCTAATCTTGCAGAGTTATAAAGTACAGTATCAACAAGGTTGCAAGTCAAGTCAAATTTTCCAACAAAATTGGGGTCGTAACTCAAAAAATATGTAAATAGGGGCATTCGTAAGTAGAGGTTCCACTGTACAGTACTGTATCTATATTTTCATAAAAATGTCCCGATCTAAGATTAAATAAATCTATGCATACTGCTCTTTTTTCGGAAGCAGTAGGATACAAGTCTTATTTCAGAGTTCCCGAGAGTGCAGCAAGTGTGAACAGCTTTTTTTTTAAAAAAAGATAGAAATCCAAGAATTTTTTGAATTTAGTTGACAAACTGTCCTCAACTTAATGATGCCAAATGATGTTCCCCAGTTAATAAATGGGAGATCTGTAAGATCCAAAACCCTTCATTGTGTTGTGCTCTCTTATACTATACATACATACATACATACATACAATGCCTAAAGCCACTATTACGCAAAGCGTTTCGGGCAGGAAAAACATTAAAGACTAAAACTTAATACTAATTGACATTAAAGTATAAAATGTGTTGAGAAAAAATAAAAATAAAAAAAGGGGGGAACATGGGAATTATTTGACCCGAGTGGGTAGGCGGTTGCTATGGTGGGTAGGCGGTTCCATGAGTTAATAACCCTGTGGGTCCCACAGGGTTAACCCTGTGGGTGCTCAGCAATAACACTGATGGTTCCCTACACCGCACCACGGGTGCAGCTGGAAGTGCAGTTGTCCCGACATTGGGCAATGGCTTGTGCAAACTGTGCAAATATCTTAGTAGAATCTTGATTTACACACAGAAATCACAATAGCGTGATGCATCAAATGAAGAAATCCACAAGGGCCGTGATGAGTGTTTGAACCTACGTCCGAGAGGATCCCAGACGCTGCCTTAATCGACTGAGCTACGACATGGTAAAAGAATGGCAACCAGAAGTTCTACTGCCCGTACTTAGATCCTGCAGCCTCTCCGAGACACAAACCAGGGTTTTACACAATTCCCCCATGCACTCGAGCTCTATCAATAAGCTGTTCTACCTCTTCGCCCTTACTTCATTACACACAGAAATGACAATAGCGTGATTTCTTATCGTGGGTTGTCTGGGATGCTCTCGGATGTAGGTTCGAACCCTTGTCACGGCCCTTGTGGATTTGTTCATCTTGATTTACTTACTGTACTAGTTTATTTATTTATTTATTTATTATTTATTTATATATATATGTATACAAGAAGGTACATTGGGATTGTGAGGATACATAGCATAGTAATTACATTTTTGTAAAGCCACTAGTATGCGCAGCATTTCGGGCAGGTCCTTAATCTAAGAAACTTATAAGTAGGTAAATACTTGCAAAATTTATAAAAATGTTAACAGATACATAGCATGAAAAAAAATAAAAGATGAGAGAAAAATTGTAGGTATATTAAAGCACATAGGTAGCTCAGAATGATTGCAATGACAGCTTGAATGGTAGTTTAACAAAACTTAGCAGGGACAATACAGCATATGGCTAGCCACATAAAAGAAGACAGCAATGAACACAATGATAAAGTTGTTTGGATTAAGTACATAAAGTTAAAGTTAAGTTTCCTGCCCGAAACGCTTTGCGTAATTAGTGGCTTTAGGCATTGTATGTACTAGCTCTATCTATAAAGCCAACAAACTTTGTAGAATCTCTTTATGTATGTACCTTTACCTAAATAAAAATTATTATTATTATTATTATTATTATTATTATTATAAAGATTGGGAGATTGGGTAACACTAGATACAGTTGGTTCTAGAGTGCAATGTACAGAAGCATCAAGTTTTACCTATAGGACTTTATCAAATATTCATTATCAAATAATACTTGGAAGCCTGTTAGGCCTATCGAGATCTTCCAAGGAGACTTAACAGGACACAACCCACAATTCCCAGCCTACACGGGAGTCGAACCCGGGACCATATAGGGGCGGGTAGATTAATTTGAGTTCCTAATAGATTTCAGATTCCTGTCTTTTATTTTGTTTGACAGCTCTAGATATGTCCATAAACTCCATAAAACAAAAATATTACGTTATTATTATTATTATTATTATTTACATTTTCAATGTTGTGCTCCAAATATATTTAGGTCATATGCCAAATGTATTTGTTTTGATATGGCAATTTCAAAATTACACGAGTTAAACTGTATACAATACGAAACGTTAGAAGTAAATATATATTTAAGCGATTAAAGTGGAGTATCGACGATATAAAGCGTAAATTGAAGAAGAGGTAAAAGCCATTACTGGAAGGTTTGGCAGTAGCGGGAATGTTTTGTGTGTGTGTGAGGGAGCAGACGACACAGCTGTGAGGGGCCCTGGGTGGCGGCCAAGAGGTAAGGCTGTCTCCGAATATCTTTATCCTTTTTCTACCCAACCACTTGGGCTGGACGGTAGAGCTTCATGCAGATCGGCGTTCAATCCCCGACCATCCAAGTGGTTGGGCACCATTCCTTTCCCCCGTCCCATCCCAAATCCTTATCCTGACCCCTTCCCAGTGCTATATAGTCGTAATGGCTTGGCGCTTTCCCTTGATAATACCTTCCTTCCTTCTTCCACTCGCATGCCCCTTGACTGTCACCCCTTTGATTGGCACCCCATCTAACCCGTCTACCCTTAGACTGGCCTCGTGTGTCTTGAGATGGTCATTGTGGTCAAGAGACTTGACTTACGAGAGATGGTGTTTTATTATTGCAAACATTAAAAGGTGATTCTGTTTGAACAAATCCACAAGGGCCGTGACGAAGATTCGAACCTACGTCCGAGAGCATCCCAGACGCTGCCGAAATCGACTGAGCTACGACATGGTCAAAAAGAGTTGAAACCAGAAGTTCTACTGAACTTATTTGGATCCTGCATCCCCTTGTGGATTTGTTCATTTGATGCATCATGCTATTGTGATTTTTGTGTGTAGTGATTCTGTTTCTAAAGTTGCATTTCATGTTAGTGGCGATTGAAATGTTTTAAATCTTCCAAGCCAAACAGATGAAGTAGAGAAGTCTGGTAAGGGAAGATAGAATTGTTCATAGGCATTTTTTGTATGTTTCAAAATTGTTCTTCATCCATAAATTCCAATGTTTAACAGCAATATTTGCTTTTTGTCTGCCGTCACAATTCATTGGGCTTCACACATTTTTAACTTACTTTCCAAGAATACAATTCTATATCAATATTGTTGTATAATTATTACCTATAAGTGTTTGATATTAAAAAGAGATTTTCCCCATACTATACAATACAGAACTGTCAAAGATTGATTGAACTATTCCTAACTTAATTAGTAATTCATGTTATCAATGTAATATGCTAACACTAATAAGGGTAAACCACCTTGAAAGAAGTGTCTGAATACTGTATGTACAAAATTGTTCTGCCTGTTAAGCATACCAGTTCATTGCTTGCTAGGTTTTGTAGTGCAGTTCTGGCTATTAGGTACAGTGTATTGTACCTAATAGCCAGATGTATCAGTGTATTGATACATACATACTGTAGTGAAATGTTAAAAGTTGAGAATTATAATGAATGATGAAAGGCTGTAATTATGTAATGTAATGTATTACAACATTATGAAACCTTTACATGCTTGTGTCTATGTATGTATTAACACGATGTACTGAACGGGGTGAGAATAGCTTGAGCTACCTCATCCCTTTGTGTGTATTTTACCTCAATAAACTTATTTTAATTTCAATTTCAATTTACATGCTGTTTAGCTGTATTCATGAGTATAGATCTTTGCTTGTATCAGGAAGTACAGGATGCGGTTTACGTACATTTTTATAATTACATATTGTTTTCAGTTCTGTTAAATTTGTTGTGAATTTCCTTTGGAAGATGATCAAACCTTAATGACATTCATAATGTTATCTAATTTTGGATAGTAAATATATCATACTGTACATAGATGGTATTATGCAGGGTACCTTATATTGATTTAATTTATTTTGAAATGTGGATTTATCTAGTCAAAATGTAGATTAGTTCTTATAATTTCTTTAATTGCCTTTTCAGATAATTCGGGAATGATAAGAACATGACCTAATGTCGAGTGGTGATGAGGAGGAGATTGCAGAAGAAATTCCAGAGTATAACGAAGATGATGCAAGTCTTACCGATTCAAAAGGAGAGTCATTTATATTTCCAGTTGTAGGTTTACAGGCAGATGAAACATCTATTGCAGGTATCTTGTTGAATCAGAATGAAAGAACTACAGTAGATGAACATGCCTGTATACAGATTGCAGAAACATTATCGCTTTCTCCAGAGGCGAAGTCTCTCCTGAATGAACCCTTGCACTTTACGAGTAATGGTGATGATCCAAAGATTATATCTCCTGAGACACTGACAAAGAAAAATGAAAATGGCCAAAAAGAGAAAGAAGTGGAAGGAGAGGCAATGGCACCAAAGTCATATAAATCTTTATCTCAGCATGATGACACCTTGCTAAAACACCAAACAACCAAAAGCTGCTCAAAAAGAGATCACACAAATTCTCCGGATGAATTGTCAGTGTCCAGTGATTGGTCTGTTGAAAGCTTCAGCTCTCATAGCACTGGAAATTATAGTGAATATATTAAAGATAGATCAGTGAGTGAAGTTGCAGTTAGTGTTCCAAAACTGACTGTGATTTCTTTAGATTCTGCATGTAAAGTTAGTAGCTTAGTTAAGCAATTTAGTTTACAGAATGAGGACTTGAATGATAAAACCACTGACACAGGCCCTAGAAGGCAGTCTTTACCTGTGGACCTATCCCAAGCTACATATTTGGAGGCAAATTCATTTATGTCGCTGCTACATGATAAGCAGAGCTCTCTTCGCTTTGATGAGAGTTCCTGTTCCTATACAAGCAAAGAATGTGTATCCAGTAAGATTGGCTATTTTAATAGACAAGATAAGGAGGAACATTTGTGTGATAAAGGACCCAGAGAATCTCCTAAAAAGCTGGGTCACTTGTCTCCCAGAGTAAAGGCCTCTTTGGAAAAAATTGGTACATGTTTGTCTAGAGGTTCATCAATAGACTCTCATATTGATTTGGAGGAAAGACAAATTTTAAAGAGCAAAGAAAATTTAACTTTCAAGGAGGCATCAAAAAACATACCAAAGATTTTACTAGCAAGTCAAAAGGAAAACACTCCATGCCATAAAACTAAATTAAAAAAAATGCTGCAAAAAATTAATAAAGAAAAGTTAGTATCTCTTGGAAAAATGGAAGAATTAGGTGATGTTAATGTCTCACTTTCAGAGTGTTCGACGTGCATATCTTCGCTAGTAAATTCTAAACACACAATGCCAAGTGAAAATAAATGCACTGCACAAGAAAGTAGCCACCCAGAAATCACTAAGGTTGCAGCTGAAGATGTTTGTGATACAGAAGAAGAAGTAGAAGATATGCCAGTAGAGATGGAACAAAACATAGCAAGGTATTCAAAAGTAGAGAATGAAGATATATGTGTGAATGAAAATCAGTTTTCACTGGTAAATAGTTCACAATCGTCTAATGAGCCCTGTTCTCTAGAGCCCTCTAAATCATCTAGAATATCCCGTGTTAGTGATGGGGAAGCTGGTGTTGATTCCTTCCATAATAACTTTTCAGAAGGCACCAAAAAGAAAATCTCTTGTATTCTTGATATAAACACAGATGAAGATAGAGAGGTAGTTTGCAAGAAAAGCTTCAAATTCTTTAGTGATGAGAATCTCTGCCAGTCTACAGATAGTAATATACAGGCAGCAGCAAGCTCACAATTGGATACTTCTGATGGCAGACTTAGTAATACAGCAGCTAAAGCAGGTGATGGTCCTAAAGTTGATACAAATTGTGGAGCGCAGTCAAACAAGCTGAAGGAGAGGAATATTTCCGAGGCATCTGAATGTCCAAGTCAGGATGACTTTCCTATGAGCTTGGAGAATGAGTCTTGTGATGAGCTCATAAATTTAGAGATTGATCATTCTGGTGATGAGGTATTTGGTGATGATTTCTCTGATGCCAGTGAGTTTGTCATAGAATTAGTAAGCAAATCTCCCATCTCTGCTATAACTGAGAGAACAGAAGAGTCAGGACAGGAAAATGAAAATTTGAACTCTAGACTGGAGAGGGTATCTGACTTGTGTTCTGAAAACAGTAATGAGTCTCTGAAACAGACAGTTGACAACTCTAATCCTGGAAACACGTGCCAAAGTATTGAACAAAAGATGGTCAATGAAAGTGCCATAATCCCCACAAGTGAAAAACACTTCCCATCCCTTCCGCTCAGTGTAGTTAATGATTCTAGTCACTTCACTGGTACCTCCTCGGTCCTAGAGGACAGCTTAGTACAAACACAAACGTCCTTGCTAGCAAGGAATGAATCAGTTGATCCACATTCTAGTCAGTGTTTTGCAAGTGTAGTTGGCCAGTATAGTTCTAAGCCTGGGACAAAAGCAAAATTACCAATATTAAACAATAACTTAAAAGAAGACAAAATTGAAAAAAGTGCCACCCCACCATCATCACCTACTATTAAAACTCTGTATGGTCCAGTGCGGACCACTTTACACCGTAATTCATCAAGAAGTATGCATAATCTGGCCTCAAGCCATGGCTCAGCGTACAAAAGTCAGGGGTTGCACAATCGAGCTTTGAGTTTAAGCAATGATAATTTAGAAAGCAACAGTTTGAGAGCGAAGTCTCTCTCTCCAGGTCCTGTTCCTAGACAAAAACTGAAATGTAGTCCTGAATCTGAACGTCGAGGAAATTTGAATCGTCGGTGTATTAGTGCTGTAGCCCTAAATGAGAATGAGGGTCAAGTCAATTTGAAAAGAAATAGGAGTTTTAGCTTAAACAAACTAAATAGGTCTAGGAGTTCCAGTTTGACAAGCATATCGAGTTCAAAAAAGCTTGATTATTCCCAAGTTCCTAGCAAAGTTCGACAGTACATTAAGGAAATGAAAGATAAAGATATAAGAAATTCTACTAGGTCTCTCCCTTCTACTCCAGCAAGAAAAAAGAAGCAACAGGCGACTTCCCAAATTGTAGTTTTAGATGAAAAATTGTTGAGGGAATTATCACAGTATGATGATGATGATGAGATGCCAGATGATATAAGAAAGATTAGAGACCAGATAATTGGAGAGAAGGGCGATTCCAAAAGGCTTGAGGATATTTTGAAGCTGTTGATACTTGAACGGAAATCACGCCATGCAAGTGACACAACTCTAGCTGCTTTGCAGTTACGTTTCGATAATTTGAATGCTTTGTTTGCTGAAAAACAAAATGAAATTGATCGACTCCGCTTTTACAAGGATATACAAGTCAATAAAGAATACATCTTTTCAATTCAGACTCAAGAAGAAAGAATAATTACTAGTGATAGGTCTTCACATAATACAACTGCACCAAACACTCCTAACAAATCTGCCCATCATTATCTAATCTCGCCCAACATGACAAGAAGATCATCTTACCAGACCACTCCTCCAAACACTCCAAATATTAGATCTCTCTCACCAACTTTATCCCACTACAATATTATAAAAACTACCTCCACACCTATTGCTGATCCAAACTGGAGCTTTGCTTATGATCCCAATAGTTCATACATGTTTCAAGAGAAACATGCGGGTGGCGTTTCAAGAGTTCAATGTTCTACGGTATCTGGGGAAGACAGGAGCAGGGATATCAAGAACCAAGAAAGAAATAGGAATCCGGAGAACCAGGAGAAAAGCAGGGATTTGAAGGACCAAGCAATGAGCAAGGATTTAAAGACTACAGAATCTTCCCATGATGCAGTCTCTCTAGAATTGTGGATGAAGGATGCCAGAACTGTTCTGAAGAGGGTATGTTTTTATGTATGCTGGTGGAAAGAGAGATTAAACTATTTTCATAACTTTTTTTTAAGTACTGTACAGTCCATTCTTGATTTTAATTAATTTTCAAGTAAATAAGTTCTTTTAACACCAAAATTAGAAAAACACAAGGTGCGGTTCACACCGAGGGTTTTCTGATACTGTTTCGTTAGCCAAATCAGAATTAGAACTCTGACTTCTGCATTATCGTACGTATCGAACTCATACATTACCATAGAAGTCTAGTAGGTTCATTAAGCATGATTTCCCTTCTCCTTTAGCCATCTTTATGTTTACTTGTAGCATGATGTGATTTGTTTGAGGATGTATTTAGGTGCAATGAATTTAAATGCTTATTCTGTAGTATTTATTACAGATTTGTTGGGTAGGAAATACACACAGTTCGAGTGGTTTGAGAAAATCAAATTATGAATTTAATTACATATACTGTATGTAGAGTGATCTGTTAATAATAGGTAGTAGAATTTTATACAGTAGAAGGATAGGCCACCGTGATTGATGAAGGAGAGAGAGAGGGTTATGTACTTAAAAAGCCTTAGTAAATGCAAGGAAGTTGTGTATTACAAAAGATATTTACCTGTGACCAGTAAGAGAGCCCTTCAATGATTATTTTTGTAATGTCCTAGGGCATGATTAAAGTTTCCAATACTGTACAGTATTTCTTTTGGTTAAACATCATTGAACAGAATCAAGGAAGACAGCATAACTAACCCCTCACTTGCTAAATAGATGCTTAGCAAGTATAAATTGTAACAAAATCTCTTATGTCAGATCTAATCTCACCTTTGCCTCCTTTACTACCATATTCCCCCCCCCCCCATTTTTTTTTTCTGTGCTGTATATGCACATTAAATGGTGCTACATAGCTTTCCCGGTTTGGTGCCGTCTTTTGATAACTGCTTGCTTACTTTAGCTGTATGTAAGTACAGTACAGCCTCGATTCAACAAACTGTATGGGACCAACCCCAATTTGTTGCAATGAGGGAATCTTTGCAACCAGAGATGCCTACAAGATGCATATCTTTGCAACCAGAGATGCCTACAAGATGCATTTCCCATGCCCTATAGGCTAATTTCACTTGGCAAAAATTTTGTTTTCAACCTATAATAGACAACTACCAAATGAACATGTCTGCAAAATAATTTAACCACATCTAGCTCATTTCTCATGTCCCCAGTCTCAAAACTCATTTTCAAAAGGTAGCAGGGCCATTCCTGAGTGAACGAAAAACTAGCCAACTCAAAATGAAAACTAGCCATAGAATATAGTTTTAAATATCCTCAGTAGCTTTCCCAAGTCTCCAACTATTTTTTGTAATGATGAGTTCATCTACAGAAATCCTCAAAAACGTGATTGGAGCCATATTAAGAGTGTTACTATTAATTTTCCTAATATTTTCCATGCTCTATTGGCTGATTTCTCTATGCAAAATTTTAATTTCAACCTGTCATATGAAATACAACTTCCAAGAGAATCTATCTGTAAAGAGATTTAACTACTGTACATCTATCTTCACGTATGTTCTCTTAGACATTTTAGGAAGCTATGTTCTGTGCAGCGAGTTAAATACAGTACATGTTATTTATGTGTGTGTTGCAGATTAGAGAGTTTGCTTTACTAGAGGGAAGCGCGGCTCTACAGCACAGTGAAAAAAGCATCATCTGGAATAGTATTTTGCAGCAGGTGTGTCTTGTGTGTTTTTAATGCATTGAAACCTTAATTAAATCCATGCTAGGCAAAAAGAAAATATTTAGGCCTACTGTAATTTATTAATTTCAAGAGTTCATAATCATGTAGGACGTTACAAAAGATAACTTGTACTTCGTAATATTTAGGTAAATAAGCGGTACATAAGTACTCATTTAATATTATATTAACTATGATTTTTTTTATTTTCTGGGTGAAATTATCGGATGAGTAAATAGTGATGGTCATGATACTAGAATTTGTCACACTATTATGATTACATGATATTACATGATTACATTTTAAGTTTCTATAAGAAACCTTAAAAATATATCTTTCTTGGTTACTGGGCCTTGTTAGGAGATTATTAAAGTGCTGTACTATACTGTATACAGCAGTATTATGATCTGTGAATTTGTATAGGAATCACTTGCTGTACTTGTATATCTTATGTTAATATTGTACATATACTGAACAATATTACATTACAGTTGATTATCAGTATTTGCTATTAATAAATTTGTAAACAGAAATATCAATTTAATTAAGAGCAATGATATTTAAACAAATGGATTTCATTGGAATCAATTTTCTTTTCAGTATTGGCACCTGTCGTATCGGTTCCCAGTGCTGACACTCTTGGCATCCTCAAATGAGCCGGGTATTTTGCTCCAGGAACTTGGACAAGCCATACAGGCGACTGCTCATAGATTTGATCTTGAAATTGTGGCTGGAAGATATGAAGAGGGGGGTAGACTGGGTCAGTCAGAGCCAAACAGAACTTCTTGCGTTGACACTGGAAAAGGAAAGGAAAGTTGTGTGAAAAGTGTTTTAGATGAAGATAAAAAGTTTAGTGTAGATGGTGGTGGAAAATACGGTTCCCCCAAAATTGTTAGCAAAGTAATTGAACAAGTGTGCTGTGAATTAAATAATGTTGTACAAAATACACAAAATGATGATAAAAATACTAGCGATCCGAGTTGTAGAGTAGATGATCTAATTGAAGAAGGAAGTCACAATGCAGTGCAATATTCTCCAAAGGAACTTGAGAAGAGGCAGCATGGTTTGGAGAAAGATGATACAAAATTGCAAGAGAGAAATGAAAATCAAATGTCTAAGAATGAGAAAAGAGTAGATATTAGAGAAGCTAGTGCTCTGTCTGCTAATATTCCAATGGAAGCTTATCAGCATAATTTTAATCAAGTTGAAGTAAAAAGTACACCACATGTGCTTGAGCTCGGCACAGCCATCTTGGGAGGTCTGTCCAGCGGTGTGCCTGTAGCAGAAAAGGTCGAGATGGGTACATTAGCTGTTTGTAGTCCTGCTCACTCCAGGGAATCACTGAAGACTGTAGGGCCGCTAGAGAAGGCAAGTTCCTGTCTTTGTATCTCTGTCATAACATTTCAGCACTTCAGTAGCATCTGTTGCCTGTATTGTTGCAGCCCATGTAAGGCTGAATTTGTTACACAGTATTTAAATATTTACCGGGTCTAGTTAAATATAAGAATTATTTTTTTCCATTCTTTTCATTTAATATCAGTTTATAGTCATTCTCTGAACTCAAACTAAGCTAGAAGTGAACAGATTTTTTGTTTTAACATTTTAACATTATCCACACTCTGATATAAAGCATATCTTCAGTATTTTCTATTACATTTTTGTTGGTTTATTTAATGTTTTGATATTACCTTTGACATTATTCACTGCCTGATATTTGTAAGATCATATTTTACAACTTATATCATCACTGTTGCACCATAGTGCATTAATTTCCACTGGAGAACAGACTATTCAGAGTATTAAACAAAATTTTATTTGCTTGTACAGTACAGTATCTGCATAGTCACCATACTGTTCTTTTTATTGTTTTTATTGAATGTTTGCATATTTATTATTGCTCCATAGTTTTCCCAGTTTGGCATCTTTTGATAATTACTTATGTGGTTATTTATGAGTTTTTGGGACCACTGTACAGTTTCTTGGGGCAGCAGAATTCTCTACTCAATAATCTGTTCACAAGCTCAAAGCCTATCTATATTTGTCAATAAAATGCATTGTGAAGAAATGTATTTTCCAATTTACACTGCTCATATTTTGGCACCAGATGGCACCAACCATCTACATGGGGTTCCATTAAAATACAATATATTTTTTCTTTGAAACAGGTAAAATTATGGCAGGCATCACTGGTCGACCCAGAAGTGCCTCATGCTGCATACGAGTCTTCAAATATCAGTCCAGCTCCATCTATTTTATCTTTGAATTCTAGCCAGTCGTTTGATCCTCATGTAGACCCAAGCAATAGCTTGACTAAAATTCATGTTGATTCTACACAAAGTCCAAATAAAAGTGGTACAAATCTCTTACTAGACCATGCTACTAAAGGTAATTCTAGAAGTGTAAGAAGTAAAATAATCAACTATTCACCTCAAGACCACAGTATTGATTGTAACTCTCCTCTGCTGCGGTCTCCGGATAGATTAGATTTTGATCTCCCCAAGTGTTCGTGGAGGAGTAGCAGTGCAACGCCGCGCCTGCCATGGGGAAGGACAATTAAAGTACGTGACCTTGACAGTGGATGCCCTGGCTCGGAACAAAGCACAAGGATGAGCCATAATGCAAGTCTTGAACAGCCAGAACAGCTTGAGATGCCACACTTTCATTCAAGCTTGGATGCCACAAGTAATGTAAAAGTGTCGTCAACGATATTGGTAGAACCTAATCAGTTTCGTGAACATGACAATGAAGAACGTGAAGAAGATTATGCTTATGAATGTGAGAATGCTAATAAAGTTGTATCGAGAAGCAGTTCGCATTCCCATGATCATGACAACACTTCAAGAGGTACAGCAGAAGCATCACCACCAAGTGATGTTGTTAAAATGGCTTTTCCAGAGTCTGAAAAATGTGAAATTGAAAATGTTAGTTGTACTGATATTGATAGAAAAAGTAGAGCCTTGTCTGCAAGCAGAAGTAGCATCAATAGCTCTAAAAAGAGAATAGATCAACATTATAGTCACAGTGAATCACAGGATGCTATACAAAAACACAGGCATGGAAGACCCATTAGTGCCGACCTTGTCGGCACTAACGGGTCTAATTATTATAGAAGAGAAAAGAGCAGAAACTCTGACTCAAAGGAGAACACACTCCATGAGGGAGATGTACGTAGCCGAGACAGAGATTTTATTAGTGACGTGCCATATGCACATCAAAGAATGAAGCCAAGAAAACTTATGGAAAAGAAAATGCTGGTGGGGAAAGAAAGAAGTAAAAGCTTCCAAAATGATCTTAAAATATCTGCATTTGCAGGCAAAGAGCAAAGTAACAAGAGTAACCTGATGTCCACAATGGATAAAGACATTTTTAAGCAATCCAATACTAAAAAGTATAGCACAAAATATGTCAGTGGAAACTCCTCTGACTATTCAGATACATCTTCATGCTCCCAAAACTCATCTAATATCTATAATAATATAACAAAACTTAAAAGAGATTTGAATATTATAAAATCACAAATGATGAATTTAACAAGCGAGGTCTTCCAGAAGAAGAGGAGTAAGGGAGAAGGGGTTCATTCAGGTTCAAATAATCAAAGTTCCAGACTGCAAAAAAGGCGGAAACCTATTAAGGCTTTAGACATGTCTGTTTACTCCGAAGAGTCTGAACGTGACTCTAGCATTACATCGCTAGATCCTTATGTACACCAAACACTGGAGGACCAAAAGCCCTGGAGCTCTAAACATAGGGCCACCACTCCTGCCAAAATAAAATCTCGAAATGGTACAAAGGAGGAGTTTCATAAGCAGCCCAGATCTCCTCCATTAGACTGGAATGTTAAAGATTCTTGGCAAGACAAAAGCACATCGTTTCCAAATTCCTCTTTGGAGATGCTCTCCGAATCAATGTTTACCGCTGCTAAGATAGAAAAATTGCCCAGAAGCACTCCAAAAAATAAGAAATGTCACTCTGACAGATCAAGAAAATTGTCACCTTGCCCAGTAAATAGCAGAGCTGTTAATGAAACTGAGGATAAGAAATGTGGAGAGTGTGTTAAAAGAAATTTATTTCTTGAAGATAATGTAAAAGCTACAAATGTCCAAGAATATTTGACAGATCAAAATCAATCTTCGAAAAGACTTCCATCTGTCCATAACAGTACCAAGCATGTGTCAATACAAACAGAAAAGAGTAATAATAAGATTATTCACATTCCTGAGCTGGCAGAGACTGCAGCCTTGACTACTGGCACATCTAATGAAGTCAGCACTGATGGTACTCACATTAAACACCAGGGAAAGCAACCTACTCAAACCACAGATGGACAGTTCCTAAATACAACAGCTCCTGTCATATATATTCAAAATTACAAGTAAGTTTATACATAAATTATTTTCTCCATATTTGAGTGAGTTTTGGTCTATTTTCTCCATAGATCATAAAGAACAATCACATTTTGTTCTTGGCAAAAAGTTCAACTGAAAAGTATTACTGTATTTGAGTTTACAGGAAATATGATAATTTTGCTTTCAATGTAACTAAATCAAAATACTGTACAAGAATTTATGTGGATTTATAGGATTTAATAGAATTTGATGTGTGTGTGAAAGACCGTTAAAAGTGAATGTGGGCAAAAATATCTTTTTGGTGGAGAGAGAAGGAAATTGTGTGAATTAAATAAGAATGTCAAAGTGCTGGTTGGTGAGCTGTACTCTTTAGACTATTTAAAGTCCAAAGGGGGACAGCTATTTAAAAGTCCAGTACTACATTGTGATGTGCCTGACATAAAATAGTTATCAAGTCAGAGGGAAAATAATTGCATATGGCAGTTTACGCACAGGTTATTGTGAGTAGCGATTCGAGCAAGGCGTGGGCTAATACTGTACATGGGATGTGTAATTTATAGAGAAATTTATGTGATTAAAGTTAAAAGTACAGTTGAGTGAGACAGAGGAGGGTAGATCAGGCCTTGACTAAAAAGAATAAGAATGTGAAGATATGTAAGAACTAACTGTTATGTATGGATGTGAAAAGGGTTTGATTTTTGGAATTATTCTTTTCTAATAAAATTTAGCAGAATATTAAGCAAGTATTCTTCTTTTATAGCTGTAGAAATGAAACTTCACAAGCAGGGTCTGATGCTGTTGAAAATTTGAAATCGCCCCAACGTAGCAGTGATCGATGCAAACACCGAAGAAGTGTAAGTTGGCAGAAACTTGTTCTGTGCAGTAATTATATATTGTATGCTAGTTGACTGTTTTTATGAATTTATTCTTTATATTTTATAAGTTGACTGTTTTCTGTATCCGCATGGAGTGAGGTGTAGCTCCCAAGCTCAGACTCCTAACAATTGTACCATACATCACTGTACTTAGTGCATTTATACCTCTCGACAATCCAGTACTCTTATACTCATGAAGATGTGAGAATGGTGATTGCTTCCACCACCTCATGGTTATGTTCTCATAACTTCTTTAAAAATTTTATTGCATATAAGTATTTCCTTATATTTATCTGGCACATCTGTTTTCAACTTCATTCTGTTGTCCCTCACCTGAAGAATTGTCTATATCCACTGTGTTGCTTCCCCTTAGTAACTTGTGTGTGTTGTGATATATCACCTCTGGTCATTCTGTTCTATGCTGTAGTTATTTTAGCCTGCTCTCATAGCTTGTCTCTTATCTCTGCTACAGTACTGATCTTGGCAAAAGTAGAGACACATCAGGTGGCACATTCAATATTTTTTTTATTTTTTCATTTCTTTGATATGTTCTCCAGGCAAATGCCTCCTCATCCCATGAAAGATGATAAAAATAAGGCGGATGATGAATAGATAATATCAGCTTTAAATATTATAAAGTAATACTTTTTATTCAGTACAGCATTTGTATATGTTTTTACAAAAGCTGTTTCTACATTTGCAATTTTGATGCTATTTATTTATTGTCCTAAAAACTTCCATTACATTTCAGGGTAGTGCACAGGAACTGTTGGTTTCCCTAGATGAAGCAACCACCTTAGCAGAAAGACTTCGGTCAAGGACTGAAAGTATGTTGTCGTACCTAAATTTGCACTTTACCGTCCATGTGGATCAGATCCAGTCTTGAAGTACAAGTTTTTGTTCATGCTATTCATTGCAGTGTGCCTTTATACTGATTGATGAAGATTAAGCCACCTAGAGGTGGTACGGGCATGAGTGGCCCGTAATGCCTTTTATACGTTTGAAAGAACCAGTGTGGGGGGGACAGATGCATGATGAATGCCTTTTAATAATCTGTTACTGACTACAAGTGTGTTGTGATGTCATTTGTGCAGCTTACTAACCTTTCATACTCGTATGATTCATATCAGCTAGGTTTTGAAAGGCAGAATTGCAGCTGTAAGAGAATTTAAATATTGTGTTCAGACAAATTAAATTTTCTTCCAAATTGGAAATAAATTTTAGGAACAATATAAACTAATATTAGAGACCTTATTTTAAATGGCTTTTTATTTTAAATGTCAGATTTTATTTTTTATATGATATATGTAGCTACATACAAACAATTATGGATGTTAAGGAAAACACCAGATTTTAACGCACAATTAGAACTTTTCTGAAATAGAAATAGAACCTATTTCTGCAGTTGACTGACAAACAGTGAGGTCTTTTGTGTGAGCTTTCTTGCAATTAACTACATAATACTGTATACTAAAGTATAGAATGATACAATCTTACAGTACATAGTTTCATCATTAAATACACGAACAGCATTCTTAATGATACTGATCTATTAGTTCAGTACTGTAGTTATAGACATAAGAGGCACTATGTAATCTGTATTTTCCAAAAACGCAAGATGAGAAGGTATCATATATACAAGTAGATTAACAATACATGTCTGCACGCGACCAATAGGATTAAAGGTCCCCCCAAATTATTATGCTGTCGTCATTACTATTTGCAAAATATCTTACAATAGTTGCAAGCTAATGTCTTGAAGCTTCACTTGTTATAAGATAAATTGTTTATAGTTGAAATTTGTGAGTGAAGACTGTTTACCTATTTTATATTAGTAGAAGTTGTAGTGAGGCAACTATTCAAATAGTAGGATATATTCTGTGTCTTATCACATACAAATGTATTATGTTCCCTGTTTACCATATCATAATGACAGTTCAGCAAACTTACTGAACCAAATGCACTTGTACAAAATACCAAACACAGTATTTAGGCAAAACGTTAGTGGTTTCTATCTTTAAAGGATACACAGTCATATATTGTAATTATTTAGGCAAAACGTTAGTGGTTTGTATCTTTAAAGGGTACACAGTAGTATATTGTAGTTGGTCATTTACAGTTTTGATGTTAAACTCTGTGGCCCATGTGGCATTTACTTGGGTATTTTTCTACTGGTAATTAGTTAACACGTAGCTGGCGTTATGGTGTATTTAAGATGATAATGGTCTTCAGTGAGTGTTCATGGAGTTTCTGGGTTCTCAGTAATGTGGTATGAAAGTTAGAACTCATTTCACTAGGATTTATGTTGTTAAGATTGCTAAAGCTTAAAGTATCATTAATATTTGAAGGACAGTTACAGTATATTGATATTCTTTTGCACTAAAGATGGTCATACAATATTATCCATAAACTGAGAACTTGCTGTATATATTCCCCACAGTTAAGAGCTTTATTTTGTTTAGGGAATTTTGCACACAGGGTCACCAGAGTTAATTTGCTATTTTATGTTTGAACAACAAAAATTTGTATGAGATGTTTTAAAAGATAATACGAAGAAGCAATTACTTATCAAATAGTTTTCAAGGTTATATTTGTGAGTGAAGACTTTGTTTACTCGTTTTGGGCATTAGTATATATAGTATGTGAGAACACCCACCAGATGCTTCAAGGTTATGTGAGGAGTCTTTCATGTGGTGAACTAAACTTAAATGTCAGCTAGAAACAATAGGTGTTAACCCTTTGAATGCTGGTAAACAACATATTTAAGCTTATCACGGTCCGGTCAGTAGTGTGTGTGTGTGTGTGTGTGCCTGAGGGGTTCAGGGACGCGGGTTTGAATCCATCATATGGTTTCAGTATTTTCTCAGATGTATCACATACTTGTGATTTCACTGTGCAATACTTGTTCCTTTCCACCTTTTCTCCCTTGCATCGCATTTTGCTAAAAAATCTAAAAAATAAAATAAAAATAAAAAGACCAAAAATAATACAACCTATAGTACAAGATTTTAGACCTTAGTTTTCTGTTTCGTAAATACCAAAGTAACAACATCTCATATTTGAGGGAAATTGACACTAGGCCGGCCCAGAATAGTACTGGTGGTCTTTAAATTATTTTCACTAATTAGAATTGAAAGTCCTCTGTCCTCTGGTGGTTAACATGAAGATTTTCTGGTTTATCACTGATCCAATTATCTGGAAGTCATTAGCATAATCGGGGACTAAAAATATCAGGTCTGTTTCTGAATGACACCAGTTGCTTGATTCAGAGAGATGGATAATCATATCACTGTATGTTGTAGCAACTATTTATATTCAGTACAATATACAGTAATTTATTATTCAGCAGTTTAGTGTATTACAAATAATTTCTTGTTTAGATGAACATACAGAGGAGTTTAAAGTTAATATTTCACCTGTAAGGGCTTATCAAGACGAACAGATACACAGGCTGTGCTTATGAAGGGGTAAGATGGGGGACGGGGGAAGTAATGACTGGCATTATACTCGCATTATTCCCATACATATACAACTCGGAGGAGGATTACACTTGCTTACATACACAATTACAGTATAAATAATGAAAAATAACATTAATACATGTCAAATGGAAGTCATTATGAGGAATGAGGAATTATTTATTACTTATCATATTTATGAAATTAATTTAGCAATGTTAAATTCCATTTAAGTGTGTTCAGTGTTCTTGTTATTTATGGCTGCAGACTATAGTCTCTTAAAGTTTTATTTTTTAATGATAAGGTTAACATTCCAAAGTTCATGGCATATTTCTCCTTGTTCCGTGTCTCTCACACATTGTTGGTGTTCAGAATGACAGCATTGAAAGGGTTAAATAATGTCAGTGTTGCATTTTGTGTAGTAAAGAATTTGTACACAAACACTGTATCTTTGTTAGGAAGTGTTTATACTGCTATTTCTTTAATAGTGAAATAACTTTTCAACAGGCTGATGATAAGCATTTCCAAATATAGTGAGTTTTGACATTAAAAATGATTCTTTTGTTACAATTGGTTTGAATAGTGTGAATTTAATTGCCATTTTTCTTGTGTGTGAAAGTGTTCTGTGCCAAAGGGGACCAATTTTGATATGAAGAAGTTATGCTTTTATTTATCTTTCCAAGGGTGTCTAAAGCTAAGTTTATATGTGCTGCAGAATGTAATGGTATTTATTTTGTAAAAGTATGTAATCTTTTAAGCTTATTTTCATGCAAACCAGGAAAAGTTGGCCACAGACCAGGCTTAACTCTAGAAATTGCCACGGTATCAAATGTTAAATGTTTGCCTTGTGAACAACTCTATTTTCTCCTGTTCCCTGGTTTGTGTACATCATTTCCAGGATTGAAGGGAGTGTGTAACTTCCTAAATATTACCCGGACATTTTGGCTAAATACCTTTTGTGTGTTACAGTGCCAAAGAATTACATCACTTTATTTCCACAATATGCAGTGAAAATCTGTTGTCTTTAATTACATTTATGTTGCTATAGTGCAATAATTACTAAGTGCTTCATTTCAACTGCTTCCTAAAATGTAAATTTCTTTAATATTTTATTAACAAATGCAAAGAGACCTTTGAAAGTTTTGTATGTTATGATTATTATCTCATTTCCCACCTTTACTGGGTGGGGATGCACCAGCTTGGAGAAAACTGAATAATTTTTTTGAGATATATACAAGAGTTGTTACATTCTTGTACAGCCACTAGTACGCGTAGCGTTTCGGGCAAGTCCTTAATCCTATGGTCCCTGGAATACGATCCCCTGCCGCGAAGAATCGTTTTTTCATCCAAGTACACATTTTGCTGTTGCGTTAAACAGAGGCTACAGTTAAGGAATTGCGCCCAGTAAATCCTCCCCGGCCAGGATACGAACCCATGACATAGCGCTCGCGGAACGCCAGGCGAGTGTCTTACCACTACACCACGGAGACTGTAATATGGTGAAAGGTTGTAGGTTCAAAACAAATTATCATTCACCTTAGATAGTATCAAAAAAAAGCACCACCACCACACTCGAGCATCATTCCTATGTTTTTGTAAGGCCAGGTGGCCGCTGTTCCTCATGAAGTGGCATGCGTGGTACAAACATTATATACACTCCCTTGCAAACTGCTTCCACCTTAGCCTTGTTCATTGCCATATCCCAAGCTTTGTACATGCTCAATCCTCACTTCCTCATAAACCATCCTCGTCTGTTTTCATCAGGACCTCTCTCTCTTCTCCTGCCGTCAAATTCACTGCGTCATCATCTCCATAACAAATTTACTATCGTGCATTCATTCGACATTTCTAAACAGTCTTTGTGACATCTTGGATTGTCCAATTCTACTTTCATTCCTGATTTTATTAGTTTGTACCACATTTCCATATTGTACCTATTTGTTCTTTGTTAAACTGGGTAAATGTCTTGCATATCAAAAAAAAAGGTTAATATCTTTGTCTAACTTCCATTATAGGGACCATATCCAAATTAATTATGAATTTTGTTGTATTTTAAGAAAAATAAATTTATCTTGCTTAACTGGCACCAGCCTATGTATTAAGACATTATCAATAAATAATGTGGTGTATCATGGAGCTAATCATGATTAGAAATTAGTATGTCCTTAAATCATACATGTTTGTATCTATGGCAAGTGCACACCCTGACAATTATAATGTGCAAAGCACATGCCTTTGTACTGTACTCGATATTCTGCTCCATGTGCAGATTCAATTTATAATTTACTTAATGAGCTTAAAAAAAAAAAAAAAAAAAAAAGGCCATTACCTATTGATGAGTTTGATACTTCGTGAATCACAAGCAATGCAAAGCCGAGATGGAATAATAAAAGTACATAGTGAAAAAGAAACACTGTATATGAATACAAGTGAAAAAGGAACACACAAAAGGAATTGTAGCTAATATAAGTTTTCAAACTACTGACGTAGCGACCCCACCTTGAGTTTGAGTTATAATTTGCTCTACTTGCTAAAGTTTTATTTTTTAATGGCTTCAAATGGGACATTATGAATACTAGTCAAATGTTCAAATTAAATTAATCTCTTACAAAATCACACACACACTCATTTTGTTTAAATATTTCAGTGTATCATTGATAATATTTAGTGAAAAACATTTATAATAAAAAAAGGCCTACATAAATCCAAATAATTTTGTAAATGCAGCCATATGAATTACAATTTGTGGTAGCACATGTAGTTTATTTATTTTTGTATTGAATCTGAAGCATGTGGCTTGGTTTTTAGTTGGTTAAAATTTAAGAATAATTTTCATGTACTGTAGTACAATAGTTAAAAGTGTATGAGTATTACCTGTAAAACTCCCCCTAGAAGCCTGCTTGATGTATTTCCCCCCCTCATTTAGTTCCATTGCACTTTTTATATACAATATGTAAAAGATGCTTGCTATTTTGATAATGTGTTTGTGAAATAAAATTTATACATCACTTTAGTTCTGTTTGTTAATCAAATACAATTGATTGAAATCGTCATATTTTGATTGTGTTCTGTTACTTAAAGTGTTCAGCTATCTCTTCATACATTATGGGTGCTATGGCCCACACTAAAGATTATTCATGTTTGGTAGCTTTGAGAGCCGATACCGAGAAATAATCTTGCAGCTGTGTATTGAAATACATGTTTACCTTTACACAGTATCTGGTAGTTAACTGTGTTCAAAGCTGTAGTTCTGACACAAAATATATTTTTTCATGGAAGATAAAGCATTGCATCTCCCATCAAAGCAATCAGTTGGTTGCTATAACTCCCTGCATGCAGACTACAAAATTGTATATAAAATACATAACTATTATTAATGAACAATATTAAATATATTATTAATAATGATAACAAAAATGTATTAACATCATAACAGTGATGCATAACATCATGTCAGTGATGCCATAGGGACTAATACATTCCTACAGGATAAGTTTAAGGTCAACATATGACCATTTTAATATTTACTTCCATTATCATCATAATACCTATTTTCCACTTCATGGGGTACAGAGGCATCAGCCCAGAGAAAAGTATGCAGCTACATAGTGAAAGGTTATAGATATTAAAAAAATAACACGTGTCTGCTCATTGTACTGTACCATTCTTACTATATAGCATTGCAGAAAAGCATAACCCACTCCACAAGACCAGGTGTACAGTCTTATTAATTCTCATACGATACAAGTAAGTAATTATCAAAAGAAGGCACCAAACCGGGAAGGCTATGTAGCACCGTCAAAAGTGCGGGATATTCAAAAGGCGCTAAAGATCATCAAGGATGCCAATACAAGGACAAAATGTGCACAAGGCAAGCATCATCAAAGGCATCCAATTCACCAAGGATATTCATCGAGGGACAGGTGACCGCGAGGGACAGTTGGGAAGCAAGACACACGCAAATCCTGGAAGTCTGGATTTGCACGACCGTAAGAGGGACAATAAGGAACAGGGCGGCGATATATACGGTACAAGCAGTGCATTCTCTGCCAACTTTTATCTTCACAATATCCTGTGTATTGTTTACCCACAATCCCTGCTTCCTCAAACTCAACATGTCTGTAATTTGCCACCATTTCTTCAAAGCTTCCTGAGCATCCTTACCTAAAAAAATACACCTTGGAACTTCTTTCTCTGCCTCTTACCACTAACATAAAGGTGTACCTCAAGGCACTGTTTTAAGCACAACCATGTGGTTGGTCATGACAGCCTTCCTTCCTCTCTTCCTACAGAGGAGGGGGGGAGGGATATGGTTATATTTAGCAGATTTAAGACAAAGACAATCAAGTTTTACTGGGTTCCCAGTCATATCGGTGTTGGGTACAGTGTTCCATAGAGGATTTAAGCAAACATTATCACTCGCCAGTTATCATAAATGAAACAATGGCAAAGTTGTTCACATAATTATCAAAAGAAGGTACAGTACTAAGTTGGGAAGACTATGTAGCATCATAGCTGTTCACATAAGTCACAGGTCATTTAATGTTAAGCAATGAACACCTAGATATACCCAATCACAGCCATATACAAAATAAAACAAAACAAAAATACTGAAGTATTGGCCAATTTTCTTTAAGTAAAGGCCAGGCAACCCTGGCCTGGTCTGGTCAACATAATTTAGCTACGTTATTGTGACTCATCGCCTGCGCCAGGCACCTTTTACTATGAAAAACAAGATTGGCGAATAATTTAATACAGTATTTTGTATTTTAAAACTGGAAAGTGGGGCTTCCCGCTGTGGGAAGACTTAATAAAGCAGAATAAGATAGTAATCATCAAAATTAATACGGCATATCAGATGTGTAGGTCACCTGAAACCATTTTTTTTAAGATACATGGAAACATTAAATGCTCTAACCAGAATTTCAATACTATGTTACCTATTTTGTACTTTTGCTGCAAGAACAGAACTTATGGCAAAGTACCTTGTATGGCTTTTACATTTAATATGCATCTAAATCATTTTATATCATCAACCCTCATCACAAATCTGGGGGTACTGTATATGCCTTAATACATACAAAAAAAGGCTTGCAAGAAAATACACACATTAATTAAAGATATTTTATTTATATGGCATTTTAGAATATTATTTATACTCCTACATATAAATTTAAAACACTTATATTAGTTACCTATAAATTAATTATTATTGCTGCTAAGATGTAAGTACAGCCACGTCAGTGCTCGAAGGTTCAACTGTTTCATTTGCTGACAAATCTTCAGTTTCCACAATAACTGGGGCATCTTCCCCTTCATCCTCTACACTGAGATCCCACTTAAACTTGTTAGTTATATGCACCTTGAATCGGGAAGCCTTCTTCACTAACGATACCGGCAAAGCTGCAGCATTGTCGCTTATGTTGGCAAACAAGGCTGTCAACGCAGAGGCCAAGAAGTTGTTGCTCTCAACAATATCAATAAACAGATCTTCTGGTACCTGTCAACATAAGTATTGATAAAAAAAATAATGTACACTGAAAATAATAATAAGCATTTATAACATCAGTATAGTACTTTATTTCATACAGACCAATTGTAACCAGAAGTTAAAAATCATATTGGTAGTTAATAAGGAAATAAAACATGTAATGGAGAGAGAAAAACAATCAGTGGCATCTAGAGCTCAGTTAAGCCAGATGGTTTTCTCCAGTGCTCCCTCATACCATTATAACTCTGGGACCATTTTAAAAGTGGCCCAAAGTGCAAATACTAAAATGTCGTTCCACCTGACTGTATGTTGCAGTTTCTACCAAGACAGTGGAAAGTTTGTGTAGTCTCCAGTGAGATACCTCAGAATGGATAAAATAGTACAAAAAAGTACAGTATATCAGTACTTTATGTGCATTTCTAGAGATTCAGGGAATGTAGGGAGAGGTGGATGGGCCTGTTGCATCACAGGATGTAACAGCTTGCACCCAGCAGACTGACAACCAGCCAGTATGCCAGCCAACTAATTAGAATATGCTCAGCTGCACCCATGTGCCCATCCACACCCCTAATTTGCTTGTCCACCCATATTCTTCAATGCCTGCTCTAATCCTCACCCTGCCACCATCACCCACCTGTCTGCTCATGCAAACTCACATATCTACTATATCAACATGACCCTGTATTAGACTGAAAAAGGAAAGGGCCAACCAGTCTTTGAAAACTGCTCAGCGAGTAAGAGCTGTGGGAAAAACTAAACCCAAACAATATTCAAATAAGCCTTTGACTTAAAGGGAAAGAAAGTGGTTCACCCCCATCTGGACTACTTGCATCCAAGCAAGGAAGCCTCGCCTTCAAAAGAACATACTGTAGATGCACTGGGAAAGATTCAGTACCGAGGAACAAAATTCATCCCCATAATACAAAAACAAAACTGTAAACAAAGCATGAAAGGAATGATTTCATTGAGATCTTTAAAATACTGAGCTAAAGCCAGACAACATGAGATGCTTATTCACCACTTGGGCAAAGTCATAAATACTGAGACAGTGCTTCAGTTAAAAAAAATAATGGGCTGATGAAGTACATAGTCCTTAGTTGCAGAAAACATCCTATTTTTACCACAAGGTCTTTAATACTGTATAGCCTGGAACACCGTACTGAAATATTTAAGTTGTAAAAAAAAAAATAATAACCAATGGGTGGTTGCTATGCATTTTTCCATTGGATACCTAGTAATGTGCCCGAGGCTAAATTGAAACCCAGCACGGGGGAAGACGACTGAAATACTGTATCCTGGATCACGGCGGTGCTCGGTATACAAAACCAAACCTGTCAATAAATAACCCAACCTCAGTATTGTGACATTCTCTGCTAACAAATCTGTCCTTTCTGAGTTGGGTACACTTACTGGAACAAATTTTGTTCCCTGTTTACTTGTTCTTCCATGATGGAAGCATATGGCACCAACACCACTAATACAACACTAAGTAGTGGCCCAGCCAGAGGCTTAGGACCCACGCAAAAATATCTCTTGGGGAAAAAAAATACTTATTTTGGGTGTGGCTTTACCTTATAAACCTGACTTAAGCAGGAACTTATTAATTAAAACAAAAATAAATTTTTGGCAACAACAAAGTTTCCACAGACAGTTTATATTATAGAGTGCTGAACATTCAAAGGTGTAAAAAAGGAATTGATCATAATTTCTTACCTCATAAATCTGAAAATGTAAGATGGAAAGAAATTTGTTATAAAGCTCGGGGTACTGTTTGACAAGTTCCTCTGCACGACAGAGATCTGACAAGAGGCGTCTCCAGTGCTCCCAGCCATCCCACACTTGGCCCACCAGGAAACATATGAAAGCCAGCTGCAGCTCTGCTAACATGCTCTCAGGTCTGAAACAAAACCAAATACTGTACAGTATTTAACCCAACTGTGCCAATGCTCTCAAATTTCAGCTTTTTGTAGCCTGTCAAAGTGTCTATATGTTGACACGCTACTGTACCGAGAACCTAGTGTTATGCAGATGCCATGTTATATATGCATATTGTAATTAAGTAATTTATCTATATTAAAAATATATCTATAGGTTCAATTATTTGAATAGATAAATAATACATAACAAATCTTATCAATAGCATGTAAAATTCATGATGTTATCGCAAAGTTTATAGCAGAGTTCTTTGCGTACATTTTGGGTATAAGTATGCTTACTCAAAGGTAAAAATGCACAATTATGTTTGTTGACTAATCTAAAGACATTCTGACAGACCAATGTCCTTGATTTTTTAGTAAGACTATTTATTCCTCTGAAAAGTGGTAGGTGGTTTACATTATGCTAGGTTAGAGGTGACTTTAATCAGATATTAGAATACCTGCATCATTAGTTCATCACTGCAGGTTACCTTACAATCTTGAATATTACCAGCACAGTATACAGTACTAGTATAACCAATTATCAGAATAATGTCAACCAGTACCAACACAGTATACTGGTACTGTATTAAAAATTTAAATAATTATATCTATCACTATCTCTACTGTATTATATTATCAATTTGGTTTGGTAGACAAACAAGCTAATTATTAAAACAATCCTCTTACTGTTCAGCAAGCACTACATTTAATATACATAGCCAACTTACTTATCAACTTTGGCTATCATTTGCCTGATGCTATATGAAGAATCAAGGCTATATCTTGTTACTTCACTAGGCGTTGCTCCATCACGATATGGTCGAGCTGGGAATTTGCTAAAACGAAACTCTGTGCCTTCTTTAGGTATCATTTCAGGCATTACTGGCTTTGGTTCAGCTATCTCAGGTTCAGAGCTCAGTATTATCAATGAACTACCATCAGAATTGTGTGTTTTGAACTCTGATGTACCTGGTTGCTGTTCCATGTCATCTGTTTGTAAACCAGGATCTAATTGATTAGCAGAACAGCTTGACTCACTGGCTGCTTGTGAGATCAGGCTGCCACTTTCAGATCTTTTTACTGTTCTATGCCATGTATTTACCGATGCAAGCTCAATTACTGAGCAAATCCTGCCTGTAAAATTTTAAAACAGGTTAAACAATAATTACCGAATTATCATCATGGATCATAATTTCACAAGTGTTTATCTGTGTCTAACATGCTGTCTAATAAAGAATCAAATCACCTAAAAAATACTTGCTGCAATTAGCAATCCACAAAGAAACGTTCTGAGCTACTGGGATTGCATTCGGTTGCACCCCTTCCCTAAGGCAAGATCCGCTGGACCCTTGGGATATGTTAGCGAGCTATTAGGTGGGACTCTGGTTAGCAGTCATGTTTGATCTCAATACAGAACTCTTAACCTGCTTCAAATTTATAGGGAATGCACCACTGTCAGCAGTTCTAAGCTAGACTGAGTATATCTCCAATGACCCCTTAGGACCTTTAATGATAATGCAAAGGCAGCTGGCAAAGATCACTGCAGTACTAATGTTAAAGGACACAGCAGATCTTTCCTTAAAAATCTCAGAATTTTCTATTTACTTAACATCACATTTATTTAAACTAAGGTTAAGCACTACAGAAGGAAGAAAAAATTATCAAGGAAAAATAAAAACGTTAGCCAAAACAGCGCTTTAAAACTTATTTTACAGTACTTAAATAATGTTTTTAATCTAATCTTTCATTTTTAATCTAACTAATGTTATAAGTATTACATAAGAAATTACAATTTTATGTTATATCGTTCATACTATACAGGGCCACAGGTAAATAAACTGCACCCCATGTCAGCAGTCATTCACAGCAGCACCCTACTGCCGAATGAAACCAGTTGTATATTGCTCCACATGAGCTCTCATAACATGTAAATAGATTCACTCCCTCCTTTCAGACAGCTCCCACCCAAACTTTGTCCCCTTACTGTTGCCTGTGCTTTATTTGTAGTCACTCCCCCCTCTTCCTCAAGTTCTCACCATGTCAATGCACTTTTTGAAAATGTCACTAACTTCTATGATGTACTCACCTGATTTTGGAATCATTCTTTCTAACTCTTCTGAAGCAATGTACTGTGTTAGAGAGATCCATTTTTCCCAGGACTCTATGGGATATGCACCAAGATATCTGTCCAAATCTCGCAGGTTGGAACGAATGTTTTCCACTTCTTCCGAGTTCACATCTGAAAATATTATTATTCAGATTAAATAAAGAATAAGTCAGTATATAAAATGACAAAAGGTTATCCCCATGGAAGAAACTGTGTAGGAATCAAAAAGGGCACCCAACTGAAGGGGCTTTGCCTTGCTTAAGTGAGTGAAGGACAAGCTACTGACAAATGATTGGAAGAAACACTGGTCAAAGACGAACCTTTCATACAGACAACATTCCTTTTACTGAAGAGCCTTTTGGGTTTGACCTGAAGAAGTTGGTAATTGAGCAAAACATCATCTGTAACATAGGCCTGTTTCCAGTGCTTCAGTTCTGGAGTCCTTGAATCCTGGAGACAGTCAAAATGCCAGGGAAACTTACAAAAACATGTCTCAAGGGAGGGAAAGGAAGAGAGAATATGCAGTCAAGGAGTCACAATAATGTGGCCAAAGATATGATGACCAAACCACACAACAGAAAATAAAGAAAAGACAACATTTTGGTCCATCCAGGGCCAATATCAAGTCTACTTGATAATGTTCCAGGACAGACCAAAACATCGTCGTTTCTTCAATTTCTGATGTGGGTTTGTTCATCAAGAGGAAATAATACGCAGAAAACAGAGACAAGAAAATCTGAACTAAGACTAACTGATACAATTGAGAGGAAAACTGTATACATGACTAGATCATCTGTCCCTGTATCAAAGCCTGTGTCATAAGCCTCTTACTGTAAATCTTAATCTCTTTACAGGTAGGTTCTCTTGGTAGTTGTTCTTAATATGACAGGTTGAAATAAAAATTTCACGTTGTGAAATCAGCCCATAGTGCATGGCAATTAATAGGGTATGAATGGTGACTCAATTAACACTTTCGCGCTCTCCGCAAAGGTCACTCAGCCAACCGAATGTGCGCGCTGCGTTTTTATCGCTTAAGCGTAAAAACAAAAATGTGTATACTCTTTTTACTCTTCTGACCTTAGTTCTCATGCTACGTATTTCATTTTGGTACCAACGTGTTCGCAATAAAATTCTCTAGAAGAACATTAGTAAAATAAGCCACGAAACATATAGGGATACCAGCACCAAATAAATAACTACGTAGATGACTCGCCGTGAGCGCCCATCAGCAACAAAATGTTTTTACTCTTGGGATTGTAATCACCTCCACACTTGTTCTACAGCGTTAATTTTGGTATCAATGGACTCGCAATGAAATTCCCAACACGCTGATATGAATATAAGCATAGAATAATGATGCAGCCCGCTCGCAAGAGTGTGGGAAGTGGTGAAATTGTTACCCGGTATCGGTGACGGGACGACGCACGGCGCTTTGAAAGTTTATACTTATTTCACTCTCATGACATTAATTTTCTATGTACGTCATTCATTTTTATGTCAATGTGTTCGCAATAGAATGTTCTATGTGCCCATAGATAAAAAATATCAACAAAGTGTAAGTTAGAATAGCGACAAATATAAAACAACGCTGGAACATATCAGTGAGCGTCAAACACACACTAAATATTTTTACTTTTGTTATGTGTGTCAAGATTATACTTGTTGCACACAGTTATTTTTGGTTGTATATTGATCGGAATAAAATTCCCTAAACAGACATATGCATATAATACATGATATGGGGGAAGCATTACCAGTATAAACGGCTAAAGTCACCCACCTGCAACCCGTTTGGGACAAAATACCATTTGATCGAAGTTATCCACACCTTTCATGAACTTATTGTACCATGCAGCCTAGTGGTGAGAAAGAGAGCCTCATAGCGCGCAGTTTGAAACAAACCCAAAGTAAATCGGATAAAAATTGAATTTTAAACAAATATTTTAAAAGTAGACATAACTTTATGTCCACTATGCGTTTACGTTAGACGAAACCGAACGCGCCGGCGCGTCCAGATAGCGCGAAAGTGTTAATTAATATGGATCAATCACATTTTTGATGATTTTTGTTAATGGACTCAACATTACAAGAAACAGTTGGAGCCTTGGGAAAGATATTGAGGATATTTAAAACCAAATTGCATGGTTTATTTTCATTTTGAACCGACAAGTTTTTTGTTCACTCCGGTACGACCCTGCTACCTTTTGAAAATGAGTTTTGAGGCTGGGGACGTGAGAAATGAGCTAGATGTGTTTAATTTGTTTTGTAGACATATTCATTTGGTAGTTATCTATTATATTATAGGTTGAAATGACAATTTTGCCAAGTGAAATTAGCCAACAGGCTATGGAAAGGTGCTTCCTGGATGCATTTCCAGTTGCAATGAATCCCTCACTGCAATGAATTGGGTTTCATACAGTTTGTTGAATTGAGGTTGTACTGTTAATCAGAGAATTGAATGCCACACTGTATCTATATTACATTATCTAACAACCTTTGATCTCCTTTCACTGAAGAACTTATTGTCCAAACCATATACACAGACCTTGATAATACACTCAGGAGAGTGCAGAGGACTTAGTGTAATTCAAATCTTTACATAAAATACAAATACACAAGTGTTTTTTTTATCATATCCTATCCTATTTATGCTGTAAATATGAATTGTGAACAAAAGTAATAGTTCCACAACAAGTAGCTGGCCTAATCAAATATTTTTACACAAATAGCTACTGATACTGTATTCTTTGATTTTATGAACTTAAAGTCTGCCAATAGGTTTTCTAAAACTAAGAATTTACTAAACAGCTCCTATCAATGGGTAAATGTTATCATACACCCATAGTGAATTAATCCTTGCAATACTTCGTGGTATGGTAAACCACTGTTGGGAACAGAAAACCTGTTAGGCTCGTTGAGTTCCCCAAGTTACAGTCAATGGCCAGATATAATGATGCTTAACTGCCTGACCGAATGATCTGCACATCCTCCACTGTCCAAGACAGTGGACAGGGCTGTTAACAAGGGAAAATATACCATGTACTGTATTCATTTACAGACTTACCTTCTTCTATCAAGTCTTCAGCTTTTGGATCATAATGCCGCACTAAAATCTCTCTCTGCTTAAAAACATGGAAAAATCCGGTCCTCGGGGCTGTATCTCCTTGGCGACTCACTGCACTGCAATATGGAGAAGACTTCAGCAAAAATCAACAAGCATCTTTCACAGCTCAACATATTCTGTGCATGTTATTACATCAATGTTGAAAACATTCAATGTAAAGTTTAGATGTGTTAAATTATGTAATAGTTAGTGTATTGATTCAGATTGATATACTGTACTGTATATTAAAACATGCCTATAATACTGAACCAATGATATAAGATACATTTGTATATATATAAAAATACAAATTATAAACTAGCCTCTAGTTTAATGAGCTTGTGTGTCAAACTAGACAAGAAAGTGGTAATGTACATCTGGATACAGACAATACGTTACTTTCCGTACTGGTCTCTGGCCCTTTCTGGGTATCTACCAGTTTGTCGATCTAAACTTAGAGGATCCTACATTTGCATGAAAGGAGTAAAAACCAATATTCTTAATTTAAAGCATCTTCATTTTGACAATCTAAAGATTATTTTCCTGATGATTCTCTTAAGACATATGCACCTAAATACAGTATATAAAAGCCTGGTCACAAATATATTCTCTAAATGTTCGTATCTACCATTTTAACAAAAACATCTGGGATATATGCAGCTGCTATGGACATTTTACGGTGGTATTTTATTGAATGAGAAAGAAAATTGAGGTTTTAAAATTGCCATCATTTGGAGACTAGGGATCGTCTGAAGAGTGCCTGTGTACTGCCACCTTAATCTAAGCCATTTTCTTATGTGTGAGTGGGATTCTTGTGCCCCTTTTTATGGTAAGGATTTATTTATTCCTGTTCTCTACATAGAATTCGGTTTCACGAAGGCCTTACTCCTCCTCCTGTTTATGGATTAGACCAAGAATATATCCCTGGTTTTAGGTGGTCTGATATACTATTCTGCCCTGGACTGAGTGAGCATAGTCTCCCGTGTCTTCCTAGCACTAGTATGTCCTGACAAGGATTGTTTGAAAGGTTCCCATTGCACTGGTGTGGTATGTTAACCTGCCCAATTTTAAACATCAGGCAGATCTCAACCCGAGTCAAATAAGATCGTGACACATGAAACAACCAAGAGGAATACCTCAGAATGAGGACACAAATGTTTTACTTTTAAAATTTTTGTTAGGTAAAAATATGAGGCCAATACCTTATTTCAAAAGGTATGTGTTAAATACTGTATGTAAAAGTTACTATAAATTCTAAGTTCAGACTTCTAAAATCAGAGAGCATGAATAGACAATGAATATGGTAATACAGTACTGTAATACAAAATATACTCATGGATGCTAACCTAAAATAAATGAAGTGGAGACCTGGAGGGATCATCTTTACCCCTTTAAATCTATCACCAACATTCCACGAGTTTAAGTCAATACCAAATTCTGTCGTCGCTGGCATGCCGAGGAGAATCAGTGTCCCGCCCTCTTCAAACATCTGCTGGACCAACTCCGGATCCATGACTCCAATCCTATGGAAAACAAAATAATGATTAGTATTAAAGTACTATTAATAACATGAAACGTGAATATTGGCAGCATGCTTGCCGCGATAACACTATCTGAATTACTCCGATCATGCAAAATTCTATATAAATTTTGTCAATATAAAGATGTTTTGGTTTCTCCGAGTCAGTGACAGGACCCTAGGAGTCTTACCGAGGTCACCCATAATTCCAACTACAGTACTAACTCTTCCCAGAATGCAGCCCACAACAGTTGCCTAACTCCCAGGTACCTACATATTGCTAGGTGAACAAAAACATCATGTGAAAGGAAACATTGGCCAAAAGTCTGTCCTGCCACAGGAAATGATCCCAGGTCACTGTGGACGTGACCTGGTTAGTGACCATTGTCCTCGGGTCACTCTGGTTAGCGACCATTGTTCTCGGGTCGCTAACACTCATACAAATGTTTTTTCCTGATTTTCAAAATCCAGCTCCATAAAATTATTAGGACATATAGGGAGACCTTTGACAAACCGCCAGCTTCCTATACACATCGAGGCCACTAGAGATAGTGACCCTCAGGTAAATTCAGGTAAACTGAGATATAGTCAACATTCTACAAGAGTTTCTGAACTCCAGGGTACCTATTTACTGCTAGGTGAACAGAATCCTCAGGTGAAAGGAAACTTAAGCCAATCACTTCTGTCTCGGCCAGGGATCAAACCCGGGATCCCCGAAAGTGAAAAAGGAAGAATTAGCTGCCCCCCTCCCCACAACATGAAGCAATAACAACCACACAATAACCTCCCCACAACCCACAAGTCTCTCACTGGACGTGCTCTGGGTCACCTCACGAGGACAACCAGCAAAAATAACCAAAAGCTACTCTATCATATTGCCATGTACTTCCTTCCCTCAATAAACTTACTTGAACTTGAACCTGGACCCTCAAAATACAGCCCAATACAATTTCATACAATACAATACAGCCCGTCCACCAGCTCCTCGCAGCTACACAACACGACGCAGCCCAACACCAATATTTTGGCCAGTTCCCACACAATATCAGAACGTTTATATATATATATATATATATATATATATATATATATATATATATATATATATATATATATATTAATGCTCTTGTCAAATTAAAAAAAATTTAACAGGCATATATTTATTAAATGAAGTTGAGTGGTGCCCTGTACCAGATCCAAATTGCTGAAAGTAGCCAGCTGACGGTCTACAAGTAGCGGATTTTATTTATTACAACGAATAAACTCACGATGGTGCAAAAGAAAAATACAACTGCAATAATTCATTGGATTATTGCATGTTTGCAACTAGAATGAAGTTGCACATTTCTTTGATTTTTAGCCGCCAAAGGTAGATAGTTCATTAAGCATCCCCCTATTCAACCAGCGAGTGGTAGTTTACTGTGCACCCCGAAGCCCGTTCAGTTGTGTAACTGCAAGCCTAGCATGAACGAACCAAACAATATTCAAAACAAACAACATCTGAAGCACAACCATGCACAACCCGAAGCCCGACCATGCACAACCCGAAGCCCATCCAACCAGTTGTGCAACTGGACCCTGACCTGTTGTGTAACCGGAACCGGACCAGTTGTGTAACCGCAAGCCTAGCATGAACAAACCAAAGAAACAATTCAAAACAAACAACATCTGAAGCACAACCATGCACGAACCGAAGCCTGACCATGCACAACCCGAAGCCCGAGTGACACCCCCGGAGCCCGACCAGTTATTTAACCGGAGCCCGACCAGTTGTGTAACCAGAGCCCGACCAGTTGTGTAACCAGACCCCGACCAGTTGTGTAACCGCAAGCCTAGCATGAACGAACCAAAGAAACAATTCAAAACAAACAACATCTGAAGCACAACCATGCACGAACCGAAGCCTGACCATGCACAACCCGAAGCCCGAGTGACACCCCCGGAGCCCGACCAGTTATTTAACCGGAGCCCGACCAGTTGTGTAACCAGAGCCCGACCAGTTGTGTAACCAGACCCCGACCAGTTGTGTAACCGCAAGCCTAGCATGAACGAACCGAAACAACAAAACAAACAACATCTGAAGCACAACCATGCACGAACCGAAGCCCGACCATGCACAACCCGAAGCCCAAGTGACACCCCCGGAGCCCGACCAGTTAAGTAACCGGAGCCCGACCAGTTATTTAACCGGAGCCCGACCAGTTATTTAACCGGAGCCCGACCAGTTTGTGGAGCCCGACCAGTTATTTAACCGGAGCCCGACCAGTTGTGTAACCAGACCCCGACCAGTTGTGTAACCAGACCCCGACCAGTTGTGTAACCGCAAGCCTAGCATGAACGAACCGAACAAACAACCTAGGAAGCACAACCATGCACTAACCAAAGCCCGACCATGCACAACCCGAAGCCCGAGTGACACCCCCGGAGCCCGACCAGTTATTTAACCGGAGCCCGACCAGTTGTGTAACCAGAGCCCGACCAGTTGTGTAACCAGACCCCGACCAGTTGTGTAACTGCAAGCCTAATTTGAACAAACTAAACAAACAAAAACAAACTTCAAAAAACATCTGAAGCACAACCATGCACGAACCGAAGCCCGACCATGCACAACCCGAAGCCCAAGTGACACCCCCGGAGCCCGACCAGTTATGTAACCGGAGCCCGACCAGTTGTGTAACCGGAGCCCGACCAGTTGTGTAACCGCAAGCCTAGCATGAACGAACCAAAGAAACAATTCAAAACAAACATGAACGAAACATCTGAAGAAGCACAACCATGCACGAACCGAAGCCCGACCATGCACAACCCGAAGCCCAAGTGACACCCCCGGAGCCCGACCAGTTATTTAACCGGAGCCCGACCAGTTGTGTAACCGGAGCCCGACCAGTTGTGTAACCGGACCCCGACCAGTTGTGTAACCGCAAGCCTAGCATGAACGAACCGAACAAACAACCTATGGAGCACAACCATGCACGAACCGAAGCCCGACCATGCACAACCCGAAGCCCAAGTGACACCCCCGGAGCCCGACCAGTTATTTAACCGGAGCCCGACCAGTTGTGTAACCGGAGCCCGACCAGTTGTGTAACCAGACCCCGACCAGTTGTGTAACCGCAAGCCTAGCATGAACGAACCGAACAAACAACCTAGGAAGCACAACCATGCACTAACCAAAGCCCGACCATGCACAACCCGAAGCCCGAGTGACACCCCCGGAGCCCGACCAGTTATTTAACCGGAGCCCGACCAGTTGTGTAACCAGAGCCCGACCAGTTGTGTAACCAGACCCCGACCAGTTGTGTAACCAGACCCCGACCAGTTGTGTAACCGCAAGCCTAGCATGAACGAACCGAACAAACAACCTTGGAAGCACAACCATTTGTAAACCGAAGCCCGACCATGCACAACCCGAAGCCCCGACCAGTTGTGTAACCGGAGTCTGAACCGGTTGTGTAACCGGACCCCGACCAGTTGTGTAGCTGCAAGCCTAGCATGAATGAACCAAACAACAATTCAAAACAAACAACATCTGAAGCACAACCATGCACGAACCGAAGCCCGATCATGCACAACCCGAAGCCCAAATGACACCCCCGGAGCCCGACCAGTTATTTAACCGGAGCCCGACCAGTTGTGTAACCGGAGCCCGACCAGTTGTGTAACCGAACCCCGACCAGTTGTGTAACCGAAAGCCTAGCTTGAACGAACCGAACAAACAACCTCTGGAAGCACAACCATGCACGAACCGAAGCCCGACCATGCACACAAGCCCGAAGCACAACCCGAAGCCCAAGTGACACCCCCGGAGCCCGACCAGTTATGTAACCGGAGCCCGACCAGTTGTGTAACCGGAGCCCGACCAGTTGTGTAACCAGACCCCGACCAGTTGCGTAACCGAAAGCCTAGCATGAACGAACCGAGCAAACAACCTATGGAGCACAACCATGTACGAACCGAACCGAAGCCCGACCATGCACAACCCGAAGCCCAAGTGACACCCCCGGAGCCCGACCAGTTATTTAACCGGAGCCCGACCAGTTGTGTAACCGGAGCCCGACCAGTTGTGTAACCAGACCCCGACCAGTTGCGTAACCGAAAGCCTAGCATGAACGAACCGAACAAACAACCTATGAAGCACAACCATGCGCAAACCGAAGCCCGACTATGCTCAACCCGAAGCCCCAGTGATCCCCCGGAGCCCGACCAGTTATGTAACTGGAGCCCGACCAGTTGTGTAACCGGAACCCGACCAGTTGTGTAACCGCAAGCCTAGCATGAACAAACCAAAAAGAATGCAACGAAAACAACAAACATCTGAAGCACAACCATGCATGAATCCGAAGCCCGACCATGCACAAACCGAAGCCCGACCATGACACCCCCGAAGCCCGACCAGTTATGTAACCGGAGCCCGACCAGTTGTGTAACCGGAGCCCGACCAGTTGTGTAACCGGACCCCGACCAGTTGTGTAACCGCAAGCCTAGCATGAACGAACCGAACAAACAACCTTGGAAGCACAACCATGCACTAACCAAAGCCCGACCATGCACAACCCGAAGCCCAAGTGACACCCCCGGAGCCCGACCAGTTAAGTAACCGGAGCCCGACCAGTTGTGTAACCGGAGCCCGACCAGTTGTGTAACCGGAGCCCGACCAGTTGTGTAACCGGAGCCCGACCAGTTGTGTAACCAGACCCCGACCAGTTGTGTAACCGCAAGCCTAGCATGAACGAACCGAACAAACAACCTATGAAGCACAACCATGCACGAACCGAAGCCCGACCATGCACAACCCGAAGCCCAAGTGACACCCCCGGAGCCCGACCAGTTATTTAACCGGAGCCCGACCAGTTGTGTAACCAGAGCCCGACCAGTTGTGTAACAGACCCCGACCAGTTGTGTAACCGCAAACCTAGCATGAACGAACCGAACAAAAACATCTGAAGCACAACCATGCACGAACCGAAGCCCGACCATGCACAACCCGAAGCCCAACCAGTTGTGTAACCGGAGTCTGAACCGGTTGTGTAACCGGACCCCGACCAGTTGTGTAGCTGCAAGCCTAGCATGAATGAACCAAACAACAATTCAAAACAAACAACATCAAACAAACAACATCTGAAGCACAACCATGCATGAACCGAAGCCCGATCATGCACAACTCGAAGCCCAAATGACACCCCCGGAGCCCGACCAGTTATTTAACCGGAGCCCGACCAGTTGTGTAACCGGAGCCCGACCAGTTGTGTAACCGGACCCCGACCAGTTGTGTAACCGCAAGCCTAGCATGAACGAACCGAAACAATTAAAAACAAACAACATCTGAAGCACAACCATGCACGAACCGAAGCCTGACCATGCACAACCCGAAGCCCGAGTGACACCCCCGGAGCCCGACCAGTTATTTAACCGGAGCCCGACCAGTTGTGTAACCAGAGCCCGACCAGTTGTGTAACCAGAGCCCGACCAGTTGTGTAACCGCAAACCTAGCATGAACGAACCGAACTTAAAACAATCTGAAGCACAACCAAGCACAACCATGCACGAACCGAAGCCCGACCATGCACAACCCAAATCCCAAGTGACACCCCCAGAGCCCGACCAGTTATTTAACTGGAGCCCGACCAGTTGTGTAACCGGAGCCCGACCAGTTGTTTAACCGGAGCCCGACCAGTTGTGTAACCGCAAGCCTAGCATGAACGAACCGAAACAAAACAAAAAAACAAACAACATCTGAAGCACAACCATGCACGAACCGAAGCCTGACCATGCACAACCCGAAGCCCGAGTGACACCCCCGGAGCCCGACCAGTTATTTAACCGGAGCCCGACCAGTTGTGTAACCAGAGCCCGACCAGTTGTGTAACCAGAGCCCGACCAGTTGTGTAACCGCAAACCTAGCATGAACGAACCAAAGAAACAATTCAAAGCAAACAACATCTGAAGCACAACCATGCACGAACCGAAGCCTGACCATGCACAACCCGAAGCCCGAGTGACACCCCCGGAGCCCGACCAGTTATTTAACCGGAGCCCGACCA